AGACGTCTAACTTCGAGATCAACAGGCCGGATTTCGGAGGGTTTGATCGTGTACTGACCAAATTGCTACATTACGGATCATTGTGGAACAATCAATTGAATGGAACTCACCACTCTACATCAACTTCATCGACTATGAGAAAGCATTCGATAGCGTGGATAGGAAAACACTGTGGAGGCTTCTTCGATACGACGGTGTGCCTGAGAAGATAGTTAACATCGTACGGAATTCTTATGATGGATTCAACTCCAAAATCGTGCAACGAGGACAGCTGAAAAACTCGTTCGAGGTAAAGACCGATGTCAGGCAAGGTTGCCTATCCTCACTCTTTCTCTTTCTCCTGGTGATAGACTGGATTATGAAGACGTAAACAAATGGAGGCAAGCACGGTATCAACTGGACAGTTAGGACGCATCTGGACGATCTGGACTTTGCAGATGACCTGGCTCTTCTATCGCACACTCAACAACAAATGCAAGAGAAGACGACCAGTGTAACAGCAGCCTCTGCAGCAGTAGGTCTCAACATTCATAAAGGAAAAAGCAAAATTTAGCGATGCAACACAACATGCACCAACCAAATCACTCTTGATGGAGATGCCTTGGAGGACGTTAACACCTTTACATATCTGGGCAGCATCATCGACAACCAAGGTGGATCCGATGCAGATGAGGGCGCGGATCGGCAAAGCGATGGCTGCATTTCTACAGTTGAAAAATATCTGGAACTCCAAACAACTTTCAACCAAAACCAAAATCAGGATTTTCAATACAAATGTGAAGACAGTTCTACTGTATGGAGCGGAAACTTGGAGAACTACGAAAGCCATCATCCAGAAGATACAAGTGTTTATTAACAGCTGTCTACGCAAGATGCTTCGTATTAGTTGGCCAGACACCATCAGCAACAACGAACTGTGGGAGAGAACAAACCAGATTCCAGTGGATGAGGAAATCAGGAAGAAGCAGTGGAAGTGGATAGGACACACATTGCGGAAAGCACCTAACTGCGTCACGAGACAAGCCCTCACATGGAACCCTCAAGGCAAAAGGAAAAGAGGAAGGTCAAGGAATACATTACGCTGAGAAATAGATAAAGATATGAGAGGAATGAACGAAAATTGGACAGAACTGGAGAGGGAAGACCAGGACAGAGTTGGTTGGAGAAAACTGGTGGGCGACAGGACTAAGTAAGTAAGTATCTCGCCTACGCCATAAGTGACTGAAGTTGCTGAGATTTCGTCAGCCACCAGACTTGATATAACGGTTGGAGACTTAGCGAATTCATTTGATGCTTCAAGTGACGCAACGGAAGCCTTTGTGAGAGAAACTGGATGACTAGAAGGAGAACTAAAGAAATCCTGACCTATCGATTTAGTGTTAGGAGAGTTTGTTCCATTCAGGTTTATCTGAATTTTATCATGTTCATTGTTACTTTCCATAATAAACAAATTTGATTTCTTCTCAGAAATGGCCACGACTGGATTACGATATTCTCTTCCTTTTTGACGTAACCGTTCTAACTCAATTTCTTTTTCTATCTGAGCTAAACCTACTTTGGCTAATTCTAACCCTAAAAAGGGATCTATTCGTTAGCTATTTCTTCTAAACTAGTCTTCACTATGAGTTTCTGAATGGTGGGGAGACAATTTGGGAATCTGATCACGTGGTGAGCGCTTAAACCACAATCTGATTGGTTAGTTGTGGCATAAATACAATTAGTTATGAAAATAACTAACAACTACTTCCCTGCAGTGTCAGGAAGTACCACTAGTTAATATCTCAGGCACTATGCCGTATGATACCTATACTGGTCTACCCCGACCCATCGTGCCCTCTGCTTATCGTCATCTCGTCTTCGATGCCCTTCATGGTTTGTCTCATCCAGGTGTCGCAGCCACATTACGTGTCATTGCTGCACGATAAGTCTGGCCTTACATGAACAAAGATGTCCGTATGTGGGTAAAGCAATGCTTACAATGTCAACGAACAAAAGCGCACAGGCACAGGTGTCAACTCGAGTTCCACATCGACAGGTCGCTCTTCCTCGAGAGTTATCTACCTGTTCATACGAGTCTATTCAGTACGCAAACCTTATGAGGGACTTTTTCACGCGATTTCTCGTCATGAAAAGACTACCGAGATTGCTCGACATGGCCGCGTCAAGGTAGTCAGCATTGATCGTCTCAAACCAGCACACAGTGCCCTATTTGCTAATCCGAGACCCACTGCTAGACCTATCAAACCTTCTAGCGGGATCCTTAAAGATTCCTCGGGTCCCACGCTAGACAAATCAGAGACCTCATTCTCACGTCCCAGTCAACAGCATGCTTCGTCTGCACTATCTACGGATGAGACTCCGGTCTCACGTCCAGATCATCAGATCACGCCGCCCTTGACTGCGGATGAGAATGCAAGCTAACCAGGTACTCACGATACTACCGTTTCGCGTTCCAGTTGCCGCGTACGTCTACCTGTACGCTTTCTCGAATAACTACCCACGCAAAACGGTAAAGTGATAGTACCCTATCCTCGTACTACATTTGTGCTACACCTTTCTCTTTTTTTCGTTTTGTATCCTGAACCCATGTCTATGACCTTCACCCTGTTGGTACCGTCGAATTCAGTGAATTTTGATGAAAGCCGGCCTGATCGCCCACGCTCTTGTCAATGCACTCAGTCGATGTTTCGGTTCCGAATGTCCTGGCATACGCACGGTTTCGAATTGCTCGTCTCTGGTTCTTTCGGTCAATTTGGTTCCGTCCTATGTCTGCAGTTTTTTTGGTACGAATCCGTATGAACGCGTTCTTCAGACCCTGGATACGAGCCAAGCTGGTGTGGCATGCCAACTCGAGCACTAAACTTGGCACATTATTATTGGTTATGATTAAGTGACCCAGTCTGGTGTCCAAAACTGGGTTGTTTACTGTAAATCCTGAGGGGTCAACGAGGACACGTCTATTTTCAAACGCGCACTCGAATACATTTTTTAGAAGACAAACATTTCATTTAACTGGAATAGAACTGAAATGTTTCATTATACTCGCGGAATGAGATTTTGAAATTTTATGTTTTGTGTAGTGTGGTTAACTAACTGATATCGTTCAACAAATTAAAAGTGGATAAATCTCATAATCAATCTTGTGGTTATATCGTAACTACAGAAAAAGTTTTAATGTAACCATCGTGGTCCGCAATGAGAATTTTTTCCGTTAAACTGGTGAATGGTGTTAAAAATTTATCATAAATGAGATTTTATCCCATGTTCTCAAGTTTTAGAATTACTTTGCTCGCTTTTACATTTATACTTCGCGACTCTAGGCTAACAAAAGTACGTTTTACTTTTCGTTCACTGCTCTACAAATTGTTCATGCGTTGTCTTTTGGATGCGTTTTGTGTATCTTCAAGTCATTCTAAAATTTAGGATGCTAAAATTTGTTCGGTTAAATTTAAGCGACGGAAAGATGATATATCGATGATATCATACAAAAGTTTACAAGCCTAACATAGGTGATTCAGCCCGTAAGGATTATAAGATTTCAGAGTGGATTCCGAATTCGGAAAAACAGTTCTAGAAGTCTAAATACGCGCCTTGCTCAATTAATTCAAAGGAAAGCACTTTATCTAGGTAAGATTCGGTTATATTATTAATCAAAAAAAAATACGGATAATTACCTAATTACACTGTTTTTCGTCAAAAATAACACAATGTGTTTCCTATTCTAGAAGAATGCTTCCGTTTAGGTCCAAAATTGAACCCTTTCACTCCAGATGCACGATTCACCCGCCAAAATATCAAATCCGATATGGCTGAAGCCATAATTAAGTATCAATTTAATCATAATACAGTTCAGTAGAAAACATAGAAACTCAAATTAAGGTACAAAAATAGAAACTATAACATAATACAAATATTAACATCCCAAAACGGAATTAAACAAACCACCAAAATGTAGCACAGAAAGAGTCGGTAAGAACATCAGAACACTAGCATCAATCAGCAAATTAAATGCCGTGGACAGTGGTACTGTTTTTTCTACTGTAACTTGAAGGCAATTGTTCTAAGTGGCCTTATAGAAATTCAATCTTCCTGATCATCACCGTGGTATAATCTGTTCTGTACTAAAGGCTAGGGGTGAATAAGCGTATTATACGCAGGTCTTTCCTCGTCAACTCAATTAGACCACAACCACCCATATAGACCAACTACATTTGCAATCTATGGAATGTAGTTAGAATAGCTGCTATGTACCTCCTGCAAATAAATCACAGATAGTCGGAAAAGTCAAATTAACGTTATGAAAATATAATTTATTACACATTTAATAAGTTGTCGATTCGAGTCGGTTTTCTTGCCACGTATGGAATCTCCAGTCTTGATTGTCACAGTGCACAAATATACAAGTGTAGATGTCACGGATATTCAAAGTTCCGCAATGTTTTGGTCCGAAACAACTTCCACATCGATAAAACCAGGCTAAGCCTGACCAGAAGACAGGAAGGAATGTACAATTAAATGATGGTTGGAGTGTCAAAGCATATGTGAACTGAGCTCTCTAGTTAATGCGAAGGGATGCTTTGCATGGCTGTGTGTGAAGGAGTGCCTTTAGCTAGAATATGTCCATTTAAACTATTGAGGTCAACAATAATATCGTAGACTTACTGAAATATTTTTTGAACATTTACACAAGTTTTAAAAAACTCAGAACTTAATATTACAATAATCTACCTTTCCTTTACTTGTTCTTGCATGTTTACTCTACCTAGATACTGACGTGAAGACACTGATGGAAACTAGAAACGAAAACTCATTCTAAGAAGGCCTCTATTGTTCCGTCCACTGATATGAAAAATTTGATTGCTTTTATTTCTGGAACCTAACACAATAATAACTAAACAGAAATATCTATTGATAACACCACAAATCGAAAGCACGAATACCCCTTCTAAATTTTACTCAAGCAAGGTATATTAAGGTACCATATCTTTGTTTATATTTACCGTCCTGGTTAATTTGGACAATAGTGGCAATCTGAACGTTTGCTAATGAGGTCTCTGTTTTGTGTTACAGTACTAACGGGAATGGTGCTTGCATCTGGACTTAATATAAAAGAAGTTGATGTGGATGGTAATCATTATGTGGAATGGGGGGATAACTTGGCCCTTACATGTTCACAGGATAATCCTCCATTCGGAAAAGCTAGCATAGATTGGTTTCTGCCGTCTCAACCAAACCGGCCTGTTGGATATGGTAACAAAGCTCATGTTTACCGTCAAGATCAGTTGGATTCTACGGTATTGGTTTTAGTTGTCCGTTCTGTGAACACAGATGATTCCGGAATGTATGTTTGTTTGGTAATTTTTTTTCCAGTCACTTTGAATTAACAGCGATTCGAAAAGCTAAATCGTGACCTCGAAGCTTTTTTGTAAAAAAAACATATTGCAAAGACTATTGACTATGAGCCTAAAATGTGTATAGAAAATCAGATGTCCCAAAAAATTTCATTCACGTAATTCCGTTCAGACTAATCTTAAATAGTTAGTGAATAAAATACCCGTTAACAGTCAGCTGGTCTACATAGATCTTTGTAGTTCGAAACGAGGACTTTGTCCCTGAAGTTCATTCAGACTTTACTTGTTTCGTGAACCCCTTTGGGTTTGTGTTGACTCGAATGATCATGGGAAACAAGTCCTGTGACATAGATCCCTAGATTTTCTTGATTAGAGCTTATCAAAAGAAGGAGATACTGACATGGCAACAATGATCTCATATTAAAATGCCAAGAAAGCCTAAGATTATTTAGTTTCTCTGTGCAGAAGAACCTTGTTTCCATTATCATTAAAAGATTAAGAGGACTATATTAATCATTAAAGCAAATACAAATGTGGAGATTCAACCATTTTACTGAGGTATCAACATGGGATGCACGAATTATGCTCCGTGGTAGGGACCTATGATTGGTCCTTCAATTTCATGCATAGACGACTGACTGAAGTCCGTCAGCTACAATGTAGAACTCCATACTTAAGTACATTAGTTCAAGTTGCCATACCACATTAGCACAGACGCAAATATCAGTTCAGTGATCTGAATCTAGACATGTGCTACAGAACGAGCGATGACTAGTTCTATATGTAAAAAGCAATGCATAGTTTATTCATGAATCCTGTAGCATTTGTTCTAATTTGTTACTACGAACGAGATTCAATCTGTCTGACACACGTATATATGAACTACAGAAAACCATAGGAATAAATCACTAGAAACACAAATCTCTGGTATCATCTCGTCCATATTTTACTGTTAGCTTATGAGTCGGTGTCGGCATAGCCTTGCAAAATCTGTAAAAAGAACGTGAATAGGTACTCTATTAGTAATGTAAATGCGAGGACCGCTTTTCTTAGTTTGAAACTAAATCTTTTGAGTGGTGTCTATCTTCAGTCTTTGTTACTTTCAGGTTGTCTTTAAAGTTTGCTAAGTACTGATTTATATATAAACTCCTTGAGTTAAACGTAATTTTGGAATATAAAGTTTATATTTGTTCCTATCATATAATTCTATAACGTTAATGGTAAAATTATATTAAGAAATATGCTACACTTTACTAGGTTACACAAATATAATGACCTAATTTTGCTGTTTTATCTTTTAAGCGATTCAAAACCTTAGTCTTGCCTTCGATTCCAACAGTTTTTGTCCTAGTCTTGGGTGACACATTAGGCAACTTGTTGAAGAATAGTAAACATTCCTGCTAAGTGTGAAGTAGTGATTTTATCCATGATTCAACCTTCATTTGACAAACCGTCTACATCAAACAGGTTTACAGTCGTATTGATCTATTTCACATATTTTCACAAAAAAACAATTTTCATGGACCTGCTGTGAAAATACTCAAGGTCAAACTTATGTAAATTTATTTTGTACTTCGATTCTCTGTCTAGGTATGTGTCTGCGTGCATATACTATGTTTGTTAATGACAACAACGCTTCATACCTGAAAGGATAGTAAATAATTTGTATAGAATGTATAAAATTTGTACAAGGATCGACACAAATCATCTTCGTATAATACCGATGAATTGGTGTTTTAAATTTGTCTCGCAGGAAACGGTGGATTATTACGTAGGTTCATCCACCAAAGGATGCATGAGGGCAGGGATTATAAATCCCTATTTTCACCAGACAATTAGAAGCAGTTTAACTTGGACATTATAACATAATATTAGAAATGTACCCAATAAAAAAGGTTTCTTTTTTATGCCTTATCTTACTGGTGAAATATGACTAGTTTTTTGACATACCTCACTTGTAACTACGAGAAACGTCACATATTCTTTTATTATATTTAGGTATCCAGTCTTGGATTTAGTGCGATAAAATAACTGGTTATTGTTTATAATTTTTTGTCTGATCATCAAAGATACACCTGCCGTACAGGAAGACAAGAGGGAAATCAGTTTATTGAAATGGGTCGGAAAAGTATCAACGTCATAGTAAAGAAAAGTATTGTGGCTACAGACTGTCCGAGAGACCAATGGATCCCTATATTAGGAGAGAATATAAAATGTAGGGACAATCTTACAGACTGTTCAGTACATACTGCTACAGTTCGATGTATAATCGAGGCCTTTCCTGCACCTACAATTCACTGGCGTTTCAAAGGAGTTCAGCTAACTACAGGTACTAAATATATTATGACGAATTTTGGGATAACAATTCTGAACCCAACAACTGAAGATTCTGGCATTTATACCGTGATTGCTAGACAACCACAACAAACTGCTGTCTTTGACTTGCATATTTCCGCATTCAGGTACAGTCAGATTTCCTTAGTGACGGAATATATAGGCAGTTAAAAATGCTTAGTAATTTTTCGTACTCATTTACTCAGTAATAACTGGTAGTTACTTGTTATGAAAGGTTTGATGACCCCGTTTGTTTTCAGTAACTCCAAATCGTAGTTTAATGCATTCCGTTGTAACTAAGCTAAAATGACTGATCAAAGACTTTAACTCTGGAGAATATTAAACTGAGAGGCTTGGCAATTTCGTACACACTAGGCAGTTCTCACCCATACTAATGACTTTTCCGCCAACTTGCCTAAACACCAATGCAGTTTTTGTGCAAAACTTAATCTTAGGTGTTGGTAGGCAAGCTATTTAGTACAGTTGCTTTTTTTAATAATGGTTGTGTAAAAACCGCATTCGAGATATTTAACAGAACGTCGTTTGAGTCAATGATACTGAGTTTCTAAAAGTATCATCGTGTATAGATGGACGTACGAATAGTTGGAAGACTTTAGAAAAACTCAGAATTGTAAGTATTCCTGTTTTGCTTCCACCATACAAATGAAGTTTCATGTGGAGCACGGTTCTCAAAAATTTTCATAATTTATCTTACCTGTTTAAAAGTTTTGATTGTCAGTAAGACTATGCATCCTGAATATGTGTATTACTTCGTCATAATTTAAAATAAAATCGTAGAATACTAATTTTCTCGTCAGTATTTGTAAGTTTACCTTAGTTTTCATTTCTACAGATAACTAGACATGGTCCTAAATATAAATTTATTCTAATCACATACTTTAACAACAATTTGTTTATTATGTAATGTTCATATTTGTCTCACGTTCTAGATTTTGAAAAAGCAATTTTTTTTGACAGGGATACTGTTTATAAGGTATATAATTGAATAGGATTATATTCAAAGATTAAAGAAAAACATGAACATTTTCAAAAGTGACGCATCTTTAAAAAATTTCATATTAACATATGGGAAGATATTTATTTAAACCTGTAATATATATATATATATATATATATATATATATATATATATATGTTGATATGATTATGCTATTATACGAGCTAATGTTTGTGGTCAGTAACTTATATGATCCCTATCATATAAGTTACCAGACATCTTTCGGTACGCCTAGTATCGAGAGAGTTTGACCTGTTAAAATCTGCAGATTTTATTAGACTTCGTCTCAGAAATACTTTCTATACTATCCTTTGCTAAAGTAAACTGCTGAATTTAGCAGTTAATCATAGTAAAACTTTGATAGGAATAAAGATTGACTCGGATTTAATCTTTCCATTGATGCAAAAGGTATTTTTCGTATATTAAGTCGTCGAGGTATTTTCACTTTTTTACAATCACTACTAGCCGTCCGCGTATTACTTCAGGCCCATCAATCGTTAGAACATACAACAACACTTTTGTATCTGGGAGAGAAGCATTCCTTCAGTGTTTAGCATCTGGTCAGCCCCCACCTACCATACACTGGTATCATGAACGAGACTCACAAACCGAATTACAAAAAGTAAATCCTAAAAAGTTTTCAGTGAATACAAATTGTCGTATTGGTCTCCTTTGGATTTCAGAAGTAGCGTATCCTGAGGTAAATCGATTGCATTCTTTTTATATTACCACCATTCAAAACTTAAAAATAACTTATTAGATCCTAAACAAGAAATTGTAAAACTAGATTGACTAAGGCATTGTTACTATGAAAACTGTTATTTTGAACGTTAAAATGAGGTGAAATCTTCAGACAGGCTACCGAGTATTATATTCATCAATAGAATGCAGAAGAAATGATCTTGGTAAAACTTTGATTTAGTATTTTCTCAGTCGCTGACGTTTGATTTTCGAATTTCACTGCATTCTGAGAACACACATGTAATGGTGAAGCTGATTGGTCTCTTCCAAGTAGCTTGACTTAATTACTAACGATTCGAAGTTAGTTTGATTACTTACAACAGTAGTTTGAGTTGTTTACTATAGTGTGATCACCGAAATAATCTAGAACATCAAGTTAACAATTCTTTTTATCGTAGTTTCAACGAATTATGATCAGTAAATGAAGTTGTAAGTGTTACTATTGTTCTTCTGATCATAATAACGGTGAAAAATCTAAAGCTTAAAATATGATGCATATAAACCTCGTTTCTAAAGTTTTAAAAGCTTGAGTTAAAATATTAAAAAAGTGCTTAACTTTATTCGAATCCTTGGCATCTTTTTGCATCTAACCGAAATAATCGACATGAATAATTCATAAATCAAACATGAACAGCACTGCATAAAAGTATATATTCATTTTTATTTGCATAATATGTATATAATTCACAAAAGATAATCGTCATAATAACCATGTTCCCTCATACTACATAGGATTCAGGCAGTTATATATGTCGAGCTGTTATTCCTGTTCCTGCAACATATTCTGGTTCCGCCTTAGCAACAACAACTGAAGCCCAGATATCCATTGAGGTTACACTTCCTCCCACTCTGATACCTCTCACAACTATGCATAGTTTTGTAGAACAGGGTAGGTACTTCTGTTACATGACTTCAGTAAAGAAAACGTTTTTGATATGTATATTTTACACGAATTAAGCTGATGGTTGAATTGAAAATATTGATTACGATATTATTTTTAAGCTTGAATAGCTTACAGTGATAAAAAGTAGAGCCAATAAAATACAGAAATTTTCTCTGAAACTCAAATTAATGAACTTGTAGAATGTCTGCCAACTGTGATATTTAGACATGTTTTTGGTTGTCTTGTGTTTTCCGAGCTCGATTATTTATTGTTCTGGATACCATGGTCACCACCGATTATGTTAATCAGGAGAGCAATAAAAGCTTCACAATCAAACTATCAAGTTCGGAAGATACAGCACAATCAAAAGTACTTAAGTGAGCTACCAATCTTTTCGGTCATTTTAATAGGCATATGAACGCAAAACTGATTATCAGTTGGGCTGCGTAAATAATAATTAATGATTTCTCCTAAGCTTCTTTGTAGTCAGTAATATTACGTAGAAACTGTTAATTGTTGTTTGTATACATCTGCACAACTTGCTCTTTAAACTAGACCTTCAAAGTTTTCTTAATGGGTTTATTTTATTTGCATACATAAGCCATTAAAAATCTGAAATTCACTTAAAAATACTTTGAAATCTAGTTTTTTAACAGTGAGGAATCAGTTCTTCACGTATTTTGGTGTAACCATTTTTAAATGATGAATCTCAAGTCTCTTCTAGTCTAGAAACCCATAACATGTTTTTTGTAAAAATCGTAGGAGATACTGCTACTGTTCAGTGCCGAGTACGTGCTACAACACCAATGGAATTTTATTTTAAGCGCTTTAATTCAAGTACACCTTACATAGACGGTGTTCAACCTGGTGATAAACGTATTCGTGTATGGAGAGAAAGTGTTGAGAATGATCCATTAAACCATGATTTATTTTTAACAATCGAAAATACGACGTGAGTATTCGTTTGAATATAAGTTAATTCTTGTATTTATTTGTTAAATATTTCACCAACACTTGTAAGAATTCGTATTTTCTGCGTTTTCGAAACTCAGTCTCCTTTGGACATGCTTCAATATTGATAACATATGTACATTTGACCACTGGAAACTGTAGGTTATCTTTCAGTTTGTAATTGTGGCTTTAGGCTTTTGTTAGTGAAACTGGACAGATATACATTTCTATTCTTATCTTGTCCACATAGTCTTGCAGTGACAGAACGTGATAAATCCCATACTGAGACGAAACAGCCGGCCAGTACTTCCAGGTTTTGAACGGTGGTCTTAACATTGATCGATTTATGAATTCGAAAAACGAGATTATCTGAAACGTTTGAAGAGGTTACCATTGTTTAATGATTCAGCTCCCATCTTAGGATTGTTGTTAACTTTTGTTTGATTTTCCCTGTAGCATATTTTTGAGAAAAACTTGTTGATGTCTGATAGTATGAAAGATAATTTTGTAATATTAACCTTGTGATCTAGTGAGAATGTTCTCCTAGCTAAGAATTCTTAAAGTCAAGTTTCAAATGATTTTTTAGCAATGGTCTACAATCTGATATATAGATGAATAAAGATAATTTTCCTCTATCAATATTTACGCATATATCTATTTAATTATATTATTCTTCTAAGAAGTTAACTTTGATTCCATTGAATCACCATTAACATTGGACACTTTCAATTAGAATGATGAGCTGGTTTTCACTTCATTCCATATGACTAATGTTCTCTATATTTAAAATGAACTCAATCAAATATGTGAACCGTGATTAAAATAATCTTTTAAATGTTGTGAGCATTAAAATATGGTGGTAAATTCTATCCAATGTAAGCGTAACATTTAACTAATATTTTAGGAATAAATATCGAATATAAATAAAATATTTATTATTTCTTCTGAACTAATAATCATATTTGCAACGCTAAGAAATACATAGTTTTAAGTTACTTTAAGTAGCTTAAACTAGTCAGTTTCAGTTTTTCCAGTATGTTAGTTTTCAAACCAACGTAATTAAAGCTCTCATAATTTACACTTTGAATTTTCTTATTTGTATTACTACAGATCAATCTGTAAACCAAATTATTTCAGATTTTTCAGCGACATTCTTTATTATTTAACTTTAGATTTTACATCTGAAGTTTATTTCCATTTATTCATACCTATGTTTTCTGAATTAGTCTAGACGATACATGGAACTATACTTGTCATGCAATTAATCAAGGCAATTCTTCGTGGTGGAATACAACAATTCAAGTGATGCAAACTCCACAAATTTCACTACATTCAACATTAAATACTGATGATGAACTAAGTGGATTAAGATTCGGTTGGCGATATCAAGGAACCAATGTAACTTGCATCTCACGTGGAATGCCACATCCAACATGGTATGTTTGTTTTACTGAGAAAAATCATATAGTTTTAGTCTTCATAAAAGAAGTATTCGGAATTTTGTTCTAAAGACCATTTTATCCTAATAACTTGACATTTTATTCTTCATAGACGATACAGAATAGTACTGCATCATACTTTTATAAAAAAAAAATAAGAATTGAAATTCTTGAGTTTGGTTTCATATAGACCTAGGTTTTGTTTTATTTAGCACTCATCAGCAAGGTGTGCCTGACAGATTCGACCCCGTGTCATCCAGCTTAGCACTCATAGTCGTTACCGCTCAGCTATTCGGGCTACTACTGACCTCCTGTATGACTGAGATGTATTTACAGTTGATCGGTCACTGGGTAGTAACCAATGTCATATGTTTCAGGTTCTCCTTAGTGCTGATCAAAACTTATCGACCAAGTTCTAATGTGGTCACTAATCTCAGTCAGTCAGTCAGATGCAACGTAGAACTTCGTACGTAAGTACATCAGTTCATGTTGCCATACCACATCAGCACAGAGATGTAATTCTCAAATCAAATCCAATAGTAGAAGAGGTAGTAAAGGTATTAGAAGTAATCGGAGAGGTTAGGATTAGAAGATATTATTCAAGAAGTATAATTCAGTGAGAAAAGTTTAGAAAGTCAAAACTAGAGTTGTTGAAGAATCCAGAAGATTAGGATTTGAGAGAACACAAAGAGTTGATGCACCTGCGCCATCGCAGACAATTTTGAGCCATGTCATTCAAGGTCTCTAACCATCGATTACTAGCATCTCGCGGGCCCCAACCAGGTAGTCGACAATTAACGACATGACTAAGTCCACTCGTCAATGACTTCATGGATTTCTGCCATGTTTTGGTTTGGCCGCCCCTAGCTTTCTTCCAACCTATTCCTACACTACAAAACGAAGTTCGTCGAGGCAGTCGGTGGTTCGGCATACGCAACACATGTCCCAACCACCTCAACTGATGAAGTTTCATTACTTCATCTGTTGATCTGCCATTCTTACCCAGCACCCGTTTCCTAATAACAGCGTTGCTCCCTCCGGTGTCCCAGGATATACGAGCAATGCTTCGAAGACATCCATGATCAAAAACCAACAACCGACGAATATCTTCAACTCTAACTGGCCATGTTTCACAGCCATAAAGTAAGACGGAGCTAACTACTGCACAGTACACTCGTCCTTTATTCAGCAAACGGATATCTCGTCTACGCCATAAGTGACGCAGGTTGGAAAAAGCCAATCCAGCCTTCTGTATCCGTGCTGAGATTTCGTTAGTCACCAAGCCATCAGCACTGATGAGACTCCAAAGATAAGTGAAGCGGTCAACACGCTCGACTACTTCACTCCCTATCACTAGTTCAGGTGCCGATGCAACACAATCTTGAAGCAACATTTTGCATTTCGAGGGTGAGAACCGCATCCCGAACATGCTTGCATTGTTGCTTAGGGTGGTCAGAAGACCCTGCATTTTGTCAGCGTCTTCACCAAGTAGGACTATGTCATCGGCATATTCTAAGTCAATTAGCGAGCCACCTGGTAGAAGGGCTACTGAAAATTCAGACGAGGATAAAGTTATTTCTAGGAGCATGTCACTAATCTAGGTGAGTCGACATTGAATACACTGTGTTGAGATGCTAGGTGATGACTAAAGTTAGTCAACAGGAAACCTTAGACCTAGGTTTCGTACTATCTGACACTCGTCAGCAAGGCGTACCTGTCAGTACGCTTTTTTGAAATTTAATAACAATTTATATTTCATTTGTTTGAACTTATGTTGGGATTTATAAATTTTGTTTCGGCATACAATTTAATGGTTGTAGTGAAATGGAAATGTAGTTAGTAATTATGTTGTTCCATTGTCCAACTAATTTTATTATAAACGCGTAATATTCATCAACATACGTTGTGTAACTGTAATCGTTTTATGTAAATATAGAGAAAAAGCAACAAACTACATAACCGTCTGATTATTGATTTCAATGTTGCGGTTTGACTAGATAATTTAAAATAAACTGAACATCCTAGTGGATTGTTAATAATAAAAATAATATATTTGTAGTATCTCAATGACTGGGAAATCTGAAATTTTCTAACGTTTCCTAACTCAGTGTAAGTCACTTCTTCGGAGAATTAAATTAATCCAAGTTTATCGAGTACAAAGGAACAAGACAGAAACACTTATTTAGTACAATCAATCAAAAATAGGTCTGACTGGGTCATTCTGGTCAAGGTGATTCATATGAAATATACTTGTGTATTTGTGTGTTAAAGGTGTGAAAATGTTACATTGGTAATGTGAAAGGACAGAGTTGAATTTGTATGTATTCTGTTGTGTTTGCTGATCGACGTATTTTTTAAAAATTTAGGACCTGGTATCGTCGTGGTGAACAAATATTAAATGGGCAGAATTTGACATTTGTAATAATTACTTATGATTACTGGGATCATAGTCAGTCATGGCTTCAAATTACACCCTGTTTATATACGGAACATTTCATTTATGATGACTATGTGTGCAAAGCTACGAATATTAAGGGGACAAACGAAAGCAAAGTTAGCTTTCGAAGAGCTTCTGTTCCTGGACAACCGAAAGTAAGTTTCACTTTGTTTGATTATCAAAAATATCGCTTCACCTTTCCTTTCGCTTTGTGTTGATGTGGAGTATGAGACCTTGGAGTAATGCATATTTGTGTCGTCTCTCATGTCATATTGATTGACTTACTACTACTCTATGGCTTTAATTACTGCTTGTGTGAAGCAAACAGTGCAACAGTTTTACTCTAGACCATGTTAAACTCATTAATTTCATTGGTGTTCTACAGAAATATCCATTTTATAGCTTTTATCTGGAATCGAGTTCAAACATAGTACTTTCAGTTTATAATATGGATTTTTTCCCATGTTTCTTTAGTTTTTACATTGGGTTATAGTGATTTTGATTCTTTTTTGTGTATATATTTCGTAAACATAAAAGTTTGATTAATGGTGTTTTTTCTCATTTTGATGGTTTTTCAATCGTCCGAGATTTTCTCAGCTGAAACATACGTCTACTTTGCTGATGATGTTATTGAGGAATACACGTTGTTAACTTATTTGAATTGCGTTGACTAAGAAGTATTTAGCATACAGTGCTTACTTTTATTTGAAGTTTAATCGGTGAGATAAAGTAACGCAAAGCACCCGTGTACAATTTAATAAATTTGGTTTTCTAATGACTAAGTCACTCAGCTTCCAGCTGACAAACATAACTATTCATAGTAGAACATGTGTGATTCAAAGTTACACTAACTGATCAGTCAAATAATCAATTCTTCCCAAGAAATTATCACCATATTACTTGTTGGATCAATACCAGATTACTGGAAGTTGTACTTTGACTAGATTTTCTTGTAATTTCAGCTGTTACGAAATGTTATTTATTGATTTATTTGTCACATCTTACTTTAATGAAGGTATTAAAAACATTTTTTTGTAGATTAATTGAAATTTTCTTGTTTCCCTTTCAAAGTTATTATTGAGTTGTTCAACCTTAACTATTCTAATTCACTAAATCGTTAGTTACATTTCATTATGAACTGATATCAACTGGAGAATCATACGAGGCAGAAGAGTACTGAACAGTTACTTCGTCCTACTTTGGCACTTTTTAGGGTTGCACACCTAAAATCTTACTCTGAATCTAACCTAAGGCCTTCAGCTGATACGACGAATATTGTGCCTTTGAAATATTAGTTTAAAATTCAGTGATCCACATTTCAAAGAGACCAAAGTCCGTACTATCTATAACTAGACCTTCGAATTCGATGTATATAAAATTATTATTATTATTTATTATTATTATTGTCATTATTATTACTGTGTGTACATATTATTTTTAGTACTAAAAATCCACCCAATGCTTGATTTATTTGAAATTAAATCTTAAAAGTCTATGTGGTTGCATTGTTCACATAATCAGTGTCTGTTTGAAAGTAAAGTTTGTATAAACTATGCTTTGATAAACAGATATATTGATAGATAATTGCAATGATTTCAAAGACTCGTTTTTCGTTTTTTAACACAGTTAGAAAGCTATTCGGTTACACAATCAACGATATTTTTGAATGTCAGTCCTCCGACTAACACTGGGGGCATGCCAACTTTAGCATACGAAATAATTTATAGAGCTTTTGGCGGACCTGAAGGGTGGTATGGTCCAGTCACCTATCCGCTAGATGCTTCTAAAGTTTCTGGTAGGCCGAAATTCGAATTGACTGGTTTACTGGGTAATACTAATTACCAATTAAAGTTATTTGCCCGTAGCATTGTTGGACAAGGTACACCATACAGTTTTTCAATCACTACACCTTCTAGTACTCGTCCAGGTCCTGTGGAGGTATGTTGTGTAGATCATTCTGATATTATATTTTGGATCATTTTTCGTTTTACATGGTTTTCGAATTTGTTTTTGAGATTGATTTGAAAGCTTTATCGCTGAAACTCATATAATCGAATCTAAGATTAATAAGATACTGGAAACTGATTGATTGCATTTTTATCGATATCTTGTACTACGTCTAACTAAACAATTTACAATCAATAACAGGTTTTGGCGAACTTGTTAAAGAATGAGATACACATAAAATCAAAGTTCAAAGCAACCATTTACCCTGAGAACTGTCCATTTATTACAAAATATACGTATATTAATTACAGACCCCAACTCGTGAAGTGTCTGTGGCAGTTAACCCGTCTGTATCTATGAAAAGAAATGGGCTTTACACAATATCTGCATAAGGTAGCTTACAAAATACGGTAGCATTAATGACAGCAAATAGCTGTATTTTATATCAACATTTGACTATCGAACAGTAACTAAAAGCAAAAAATACGGAAACTATCGAGTTTTAGCAAGGTTTTGGAAAATTCACAAAACTAAAACCCACTGCTAAGAGTCTAGCTACTGTAATTACAACAGTAAAATGAACGTTGTTGGTTGATATGAATGCTCAAGAAGAATATTGCGAGACACGTTACATCGTACGTTAAAAAGTTGTTAGGATAATAATAATAATACTTATAAGTAGTGTAAATCACTACACAGAAGAGGAAGTTGAAAAAAGATACATATTGAAAATGAACTTAACTGGCTCAATTAGTTTTCAGATACTTTTCTGAGGGATCTACACAAATCACAATTCCCAGTCTATCTTTTTGATTTACGGGCTGACTGTCTCTAGCACAGATTTTACTAGGTGAATCACTTAAGGTATAAAAATCAGGTCACATCTCTTCGTAGTGTTATAGTAGATTGGTTGAATAATTAAGATCTGTGCATATGAAGAGGAAAATGGATTTTCTTCTCAAAAATACTTGTTAATCTGAATAACCTAACTGTAAGGGTTTTCAGTATTGTCATATAGAAATGAATTGTTCATGATCTTGTCAATTTACGTTTGTGTAAAGATAACGGAAATTGTATTCAAAATGAAAGAGAAGTTGAATTTAATATAAAGTACAATTAAAATCATTCACTTATTTGTCAAAGATTATGTGTCAGAGATGGTGTTTTAAGTATTCTATTCATAAAACTAGATTTTTAATTGATATTCATAGTGCTAAGTAAATTGATGTTTACTGTTAATATCTTATTATCAAGCATTAAAATAGGTAAGAAGTATAATTCATTACCCTCCTGATGAACTGAACTTTCGCGACCGTAGCTGCTACCTTGATGTGGTGGTCGGGCTTGCCTATTGTAATGACCCAATCGAGCTATATTGGTTGGAACATGTGTTCCTGAAGGTTCTACCATGTCAGGCAGGTCGATTGCAGAACAATGAGTGAAGCAGTTGAGCGTCTTAACCACTTCACTTATCTCAGGAGGCTCATCAGTGCCAATGGCCTGGTGTGTGACGACACCTCTGCACGGATACAGAAGGCTCAACTGGCTTTTGCCAACCTGCGTCACTTATGGCGCAGGCGAGATATCCGTTCGCTAACCAAAGGACGAGTGTACTATGCAGTAGTTCGCTCCGTCCTACTTTATCGCTATGAAACATGGCCAGTCAGAATAAAAGATATGTGTAGGTGACTTGTTTTCGATCATAGGTGCCTCCGAAGCATTTCTCGAGTATCGTGGGATAACCGAGTGAGCAACGCATTTATTAGGAAACGGATGGTAGGTAAGAATGGCAAATCAATAGATGAAATAATGAAACTTCATCAGTTGAGGTGGTTGGGACATGTGTTGCGTATGCCTAACTACCAAATGCCTCGTCCAGCAGTTTTACGATGTAGGAATAGGTTGGACGATAGCTAGGGGCGACCAAACGAAGACATGACAGAAATCCATGAAGTCACTGACAACTGGATTGATTTATGTTGGTAAGGGTCGACTACCAGGTTGGGGTCCGCGAGACGAAAGTCACCGATGGTTAGAGACCTTGAATGACATGGCTCAAAATCGTCTGCAATGGCGCAGGTACATCAACTCTTTGTGTTCTCTCAAATCCTAATCTTCTGTATTCGACAACACCTATACCTTTCTTTTCTTAAATTTACCTCACTGAATTATACTTCTTGAATAGTATCTTCAAATCCTAATCTTCTCCATTAGCAGTAATTCTCCTACTATATCTACCACTATGGGATTTGAATTGACATTTGCGTCTCTGTGTTAATGTGGTATGGCAACTTGAACTTATGTACTTACGTACGAAGTTCTACGTTGTAACTAACTGACTGACTGACAGGAGGGTGGAAGGATGAATTAGATTAGTAGGTTGATGTGTGAATTAATTGCAGAAGAAAATGCTTAATTGTTTGCAATTCTTGCGACATAAAATATGATTACTATCATAGAAATCGTTGGAAGTAATTTTAGCGAACATCGTTTTTTATCGAAATTAAATTCTTAGTTTTTAATAAAACAAATTAGTTTATTATGGATTAATTGTCGGTTTTTAAACTATTACCGAGTAAAAGGTATTTAACTTTAATGTTAGTCTGCTTAAACAGTATCTTGACGCACATCAATTTCAGTTAATCTTCTAGATAACGTTAAATCTTATTGTGAACTTTTAATATATTGTTATCTACACTTGAGTTTGCAGAAAATTCAACCTTATATTATGTTTACTACTTTTTTCACATATAAGTATTCTTTGTACAGGTTATCCATTCGGCAGCTGGAATTTATCCTTATGGTCATGTTGTAAATTGGATTCCACCAATGAGTGGTGGTTCTCCAATTCTTGGCTATCGACTTCGTGTTCGATCTATCGACAATGGTTTGAATTTAATCAGTATGATAGAAAATATTTCACCTTCTAGCCCATGGAAAGTTTATACACCATCCTTTAATAATCCTTATATGAATTATTATCACTTGGCTCCATTGAAACCAGATCAAACATATCAAGTAAATGTGATAGTTATGTGAACTGATGTATTTTTAATTAGAAAATCAAAACTTAATGGTTAATGCAACGACTATGAAACTGATAATAAGTTATTGGTTTAGTGCTGTTACTTGATCTATTGCCGAACTGTCTACTTACATATCTTCAGTAGGCAAAATTTTATCTTGAATATTTTACCTACATTGGCACTTTTAACATGCATAGCAAAAAATATCTGATTTTTAAAGGTAATTTTATTATTGTCTCGTTTGTTATAGAAAAAAAGATAAGCACTAAACAGAAGGAGAATAGTAGATTTTCTATAAATTAGAAAACTTCTCTGAAGTTGGTTGCCAATCGGACCCCTATAAAATAGTGCCCATCCACTGTCGAATGAATGTCGAAAAGCACCGTTTGTGAAGTAAGGGAAGATAGTTTCGAAATAATGGGTTTTATATGAGCTGAATGAAATTCTATAATTCTAGTAGACCTGTACGATTAACTGATTGTTCTGTCTTATGAAAATCTATTAAAATTTGGTATAGAGTAATAAATACATCAGTTAAATCGCCATTCTTACTAAATACCTAGATGAATAATGATCTAACATGAAGTGAATGCTTTGAATTAACCCGGCCAAGCTTAATACATAACTAAATGTTTATTAACTAAAGGTTCTTACACTGATGTGTTTAAGACAAGCTCCTGTCATGTTCTTTAGTCGGAAGTTAGGAACTCATTTTCATAATTTCAAAGCTTTATGTAAAGTCTCATTTTTATTAACGGTGGCATCCTTGAATATTTAGACTACCTGTTTCCTTTGGTCTAAATATTTCAACAATTTACTTCTCTTTGTTTGTTTTAATATATTAATTGTGTCTTTGAATTGCATAATCTATTCAACCGCTTACATATAATGTTTATGATGTCTCGCTTTACAAATTACAAAAAAGTACAATCTGAGACATCATGATAGATGGCAGTAAGCACTGAAAATAAACGACGTTAATCGGTTGTTTATTCGTGAACTGCTAACCTCCAAATGCCAATCAATAATTAGTAAATTAGACCAACTTCGATTCCTACTGAGGCTAAACATGTAGAGTAATTTTGATGTAATCGAATTCAAGAATCTTGGCTGAATGATTTTCAGGACGATAACCTAATGTCACTACATGGTTTCAGTATCTATTTCCTGGGTTGATCAAGTAGTAGGAGAAAGTACAACAGTAGTGTGACTACAGTTGTAAATATGAACTGGTTTCAACCTCATTCTAACTATTTTAAGCCTTCAAACGTGTTTACAGACTGTCCGACGCTAAGCTATTGTCTACAACAGATGAATAAGTACAATTATGCTTATGTTGGATGGAATACATGTTGAGGAAAGCATCCAACTGCGTAAGGAGGCAAGTCCTAACTTGTTATCCTGAAGTCCAAAGGAAAAGAGATAGACCCAGGAACACAATGTGCCAAGAATTGGAGACTGACATGAAAAATATAGATATATACTGGATAGAAATGGAAAAGAAAGTCTAGGACAGAGTAAGTTGGCAAATGCTGGTTGGCAACCTATGCTTCATTGGGGTAAGAGGCGTAATGAAGTAAGGACTGTACCTCAACTACACTATCTGTTTTCGTTGATGTACTCATCGAATTTACTGTCACTGCCTTCAGTAGTTCTCTTTCAGTTCAGGTCACCAAAATATAGCCCATTTTTCCACTTCGTCGGATGCACAGTTAGATCTAGTTTCTATTAATGATATGGGGACATGCATTACTCGTGAACGTGCTCCATCCCTTAATTCTATCCACTGCATTATTCGTGTTCTACCTAAAGTATATAAGAAAAACCTTGAGAGAGTAAACTTTTACACCAGGAAAGACAGTTAAATATTAAATTACTGAGAAGAAACTATCCAAGATCTGCAAACTATGTTTCGTGTGACAGACATATTTGTTTACGTCGCTACAACTGGAACAATACATAAGGGGAAAGAAAGAATATATCAGGCGAAAAACTTGCAGCTATTTATTTGCGCAGACACTTTTCTACAACAAATATCCTTCAGTCGTATTTTTTTTCTATTGGTTGGATAAATTATACTTTGAGCCAATTAGCTCTCGCATAAATTTCTGCATTTTAATTTATTGAACCTTGTAATTAGTTGATTTTCATACTCATGTTACTAATTCCAACTGGTTTATTATACAGTAGTATTCTTGTTTTTTTTTCTTTAATTTTCGAATTACATTTGCATTTTTATTTTGAAAAAATAATGATATTTTTTGTATATTGTCATTGTTGTTTTTTTTCTTCTTCTTAAAGTTAGCTCATTTAACTTAGCTTAATTGATAACGCTTCACTATTTATAAAATGGTCCGGAAGATAAAAAAAAACTGACCTAATAATTATTAAACTAATTCAAGTGAAACTCAATAGTGAATGGAAAATGTTCTGTGTTAAATTAGTTTTCGCATTATAAGAAAATTCATTAGGGAATTGCTTATTGGGCAGTTGAAAGTAATCAAATTTCCATGAAAAATAGTTTTTTTTCCTTCTTTTTCTACTATTCGGATTGTATGAGAATTGGTTTGTTTTATTGTACTCGCAATTGTTTTTCGCTATGAAAAAATAACTAACCAGATCAATCTTTTTTTTTTTGCATACACTAAGAATAATTGTGCCTTTTCATGAAAAATTAAAGCATGCATCGATAACAACTGATGAATACACTTGGAAATGTGTTAAGAATGTTCTGTAAATTTTCTTTTTATTTCTAAAGTTGCATTTTCTGCCTTTTTGTTATTGGAATCTTCACTTTTCGTGTTGATGCTTGACTTTTTGTTGTGTCCTCTATGCTCAATATTTACATTCAGAAAATAAATGTGACACAATTTTGTTTTTAGAAGTTTCAGTAAAAACCTTCATACCAAAGATTCAATCTTTCTTTTCTGACATCATAAATGACTGAAGGATGGTTGAAGTTTAGTTGTCGTTTATTGAAAGAGTAAATTGAATCTACCTTATTCCTACAGTTATAGTCTTTGCTTCATAATCACAGGGCATCATAAAACTAAGTTTTCAGTAATTATGAAGCCGTATAGACCACAATATGTACCGTACCCTATGGAAGCGAACATACTTTAATTACTGAAATCATGAATCAACCATTGTTAGACCACCATTAGAAACCTGGAACCACCTAACGGCCGTTTTATTCTTTTATGGGAATTATCAGCAGTGCGCATCCATAACTCCTGCTACTCTCAGCATTCGAACCTAAGACATTCTGTCTTCTGACCTAACCTTTGGACCACTGAGCCGGCCTCCAGAGGTTCAGTGACCCGAGACCGAAGGTCCTTGGTTCACTTCTGCGAGTTTCAGGAGTCGTGGAGGTGCATACTAGTTAATTAGTTTATTTAAAGTTAACATTATTAACTGTTAATTATTTTATAATTTTATCCATTCTAGTTAATTATAGAGGCTTATAATCGTCATGGTTACTCTCTAGATGGTGTTGATATTCAACAGTATGGTTATTTAAATCGTACACCTACATCAACACCTCAACTTCAACAAATATTTCCTGGGGAAAGATTAAATTATCAAAATCCTGAAAGATTGTCCAATTCTCTTAATCTGTTAACCAATTCCGAACAGTCTGACCTCGTTCCCATATGGTATTTGTTTGAAACACCATCAGCTGATGAATTGAATTCGCCATCGCTTTTGTTTAATAGTAATCATAATTCACTGAAGTATAATTCTTATCAAAATGTTTTATTACTAGGAATCTATACATTTACTATGTCTATATTATTCTGCTGAGCAGTAAATCACTTAACATACACACTAACCCGGTTGTTTAACAGACATTTTTTTCAGCATTTTGTGTCCAGATAAAGTGACTTTTTTTTAAAAAAAAACAATATTTTTAAACTACTTTGGAAGGACTTTTTATGACAGTTTTTTTCCAGTCATGATTATTATTATTATAAGCTTTTGTATGCAGGTAATTATTTGGCATTTACAATCTAATTTGCGCTTTATGTATATTGTCCTTTTTTTTTAAAAAAAAAGCAAACTTGCGTGTTTGCTATATTTAGTAATTTTCTCATTCATCCATCATCCACTGCAATAACATCCCGCTGTTCAACATGCTCTATTAACATTTTCATAAGAATAATAAACATCATAATAACAGTCATTATGAATAATGATTATTTTCTATTCCTTTATTCTTGTTGAACAAACAATTTCTTTAATGTTGGGAACCAATAAAATTGACTTGATTTCCTTAAAAATTCTAATTATCATGCTGATCTCATTTTTGCTGACAGTTTTTACTTTCTCTAATATTTTTAGCGGCCATTAATGTTATTATTTAGTCTTATACAAATAACTTGTATTTAAAAATTGGATAATATAGTATTTCAACTCGTTTTTTAAACTTTTAACAGGGATTTTTAAAATCACCAAAAAAATTTTTAAAATTTTCGCAGCGTTTTTTAAAATTTTTTGTAATCCTTAGAATGTCAGAAATAAATAGGAAAAACAACTTGGTTTCGAATGCAAAAAGAAAAAGCCTTATAAAAAAAGTTATTGAAGATGGATACAGCGTCAAGGATGCGGCATTTCTTACAGATGTAAACTATCAGGCCGCTACAAATATTATAAGGTTGTATAAAAAGGAATCGCGAGTTGAGAAGAAAAAAACAGGAAAACCATCAAATAAGAAGATATGCGGTTATATTATCAATATAAATTCGGAATCCAGTAAAAACAAACGCCAAATTTATGCTCAAAATTTTATGAACATTGAAGATACATTTATAAAAGTTTTTATAGATGAATCTTCTTTTAATTTGTACTTAAGAAGAACCTTGGGAAAATCTACAAGAGGAAAACCGGCAAGTGCCCTAGTTCCATCAACGCGTGGAACCAATATAAGTTTAATATCGGCTATAACAGAAAATGAAGTTCTCTTTGCTAAAACATTTGTTGATTCGGTGAATTCAGATAAGTTCATTCAGTTTTTTGATCAACTAATTGAAAAATGCAATCAAAAATCAATTTTTAAGAATTGTATTTTTATACTTGATAATGCGAGGATTCATCACTCAATTATCACAAAAAACTTTTTTGATGAAAAGGGAGTAAACGTTATGTTTTTGTCTCCCTATAGTTACATGCTTAACCCAATCGAATTCGCGTTTTCGAAAATTAAATCCATTGTAAGAAGATCTCTGGCGAGCGGATCCAACGAATCTTTTATAAATCTAATACTAAATTCTGTAAATCAATTAACCAGGGATGATTTACAAGGTTATTCAAGACACGTACGTCGCAATTGTTTAAAAGCGATTGCTAAGCAAGATTTTAATTAAAAGTAGTTCTTATTTTATTTTTTCAAAAAAATTTTAAAAAACGCTGTGAAAATTTTAAAAAATTTTTTGGTTATTTTAAAAAACCCTGTTAAAAGTTTAAAAAACGAGTTGAAATACTATATCACAGGTGTGTTGTTTTCACTACTACTAAATTGTCTCTTGACTAGATCGAAAAAAGTTGTTTAACGTTCATTTACTTTCAGTGGTTGCCAGTTAGTTATTCAACTAGTTATTAAGTTCAATGGTCTACTTTGAATTTTCATGCGAAAATGTGTATTTATTTTTTTGAAAGTTATTTCAGTCAGTTGCAAGAAACTTCTACGTAAGTACATCAGTTCATGTTGCCATACCACATTAGCACAGAGACACAATTGTCAGTTCAAATCCCAAAGTGGTAGATATAATAGGAGAATTACTGCTAATGGAGAAGATTAGGATTTGAAGATACTATTCAAGAAGTATAATTCAGTGAGGTAAATTTAGGAAGAGAAAGGTATAGGTGTTGTCGAATCCAGAAGATTAGGATTTGAGAGAACACAAAGAGTTGATGCACCTGCGCCATTGCAAACGATTTTGAGCCATGTCATTCAAGGTCTCTAACCATCGGTGACTTTCGTCTCGCGGACCCCAACCTGGTAGTCGACCCTTACCAACATAAATCAATCCAGTTGTCAGTGACTTCATGGATTTCTGTCATGTCTTCGTTTGGTCGCCCCTAGCTATCGTCCAACCTATTCCTACATCGTAAAACTGCTGGACGAGGCATTTGGTAGTTAGGCATACGCAACACATGTCCCAACCACCTCAACTGATGAAGTCTCACTACTGCGTCTATTGATCTGCCATTCTTACCTAGCACCCGATTCCTAATAACAGCATTGCTCACTCGGGTGTCGCACAATACACGAGCAATGCTTCGAGGACACACCTATGATCGAAAACCAGTAACCAACAAATATCTTTTACTCTGACTGGCCATGTTTCATAGCGATAAAGTAGGACGGAACAAACTGCTGTAGAGTACAACTAGTCTTTTAGTCAGCAAACGGATACGCCATAAGTGACGCAGGTTGGCAAAAGCCAGTTGAGCCTTCTGTATCCGTGCTGAGATTTTGTCAGTCACCAGGCCATTGGCACTTATGAGACTCCCAAGATAAGTGAAGCGGTCAACACGCTCGACTACTTCACTCCCTATCACTAGTTCAGGTGCCGATACAACACAATCTTGAAGCAACATTTTGCATGTTGAGGGTGAGAAGCGCATCCCGAACATGCTTGCATTGTTGCTTAGGGTGGTCAGAAGACTCTGCATTTTGTCAGCGTCTTCACCAAGTAGGACCATGTCATCGGCATTTTCTAAGTCAATAAGCGAGCCACCTGGTAGAAGGGCTACTGAAAATTCAGACGAGGACAGGGTTATTTCTAGGAGCATGTCTATGATAAAATAAAACAAGAATGGAGAGAGTGGACATCCGTGACGGAGACTACTTGAAGTAAAGAATCACGGTGACAGTTCGCCATAAGCTGTCACTCGACCAGTGGTGTTCGAGTAGAGAGCTTGTATAAGGTTAATGTACTTCTTTGGTACACCTTCCAATGACAGACACTGCCACAGAACCTCACGATCCACTGAGTCGAATGCCGCCTTAAGGTCCAGGAAGGCAACTATTGTAGGACGTCTGAATGTGTGTCTGTGTTCCAGGACCTGTTGTAGTGTAGAAATGTTGTCTATACAACCACGTCCAGGTCGAAAACCAGCCTGGTTATTTAGTAAAATTCTGAATTTAAAAATATCATTTTGGTCTGTAAGATTCAATACTTATGAATTAAACTGTACTGAGAAGTGGTTGCACCGATGCTGTGAAGCTTAGATTTTCACTAAAGGAAATCAACAAATTCATAAATTGTACTGGAATAATAAATGTCAACAATAACAAATAATTAAACATAGACAGGAAGAATTGTGAAGTTGCGAATGTATCAAATAATGTAACAGATTTAAGATAATATTGATGAATACAATTTTGATAAGCTTAAGGATGTAATCGTCCCAAACAAAGATTTGCACACTTCTCTATGTTAATACATCGTCAGATTCAATTGATTTTACATAGTGTACTCGATGAATGTAAAGATCATAAATAAAAGAATGGATTAATTATATATATATATGATTTTTGGAGTAATTGTAGTATAATCATAGTTCGAATCATGAAAATGATTTCATTTAAACAATCATTCGGAACCTCAAAACACAAGAAAGCCATTTTTCCCTATCACATGGCTCTCCATTACTGGTCGTCCACCACCTCACAACCGGAAATCGAACACGTAACCCTCAGTCTCGAGCGTGAATGCCTAACCTCGTGGTTACGCACTTCTGAGGAGTCCTGAACTAAGAACCAAAAGCTCCTTACAATGGTGATCTAGCTTAAATCAGTTCGTGATTTCAGCTGTGAAAAGAATGAATTGTTTCCAAGCGGACAATTTTCAATAAATTATGAGGCTAACAGTTTTTGTATAGTATTTTATCAGGTTGTTCGTTGATAGTATTAGTTGGTCGAGAAACTTTAGCTAATTAAATCGTTTTAATTAAAGGTAGTGAATTTTCTCTGATTGGTAAAGTCATACGTGCGTTTCCTGGTTTATATATAAATAGGTACCATTTTTGTTGATTCGGGTGAATCTTCATGTTTCAATAGCTAAATATCAATTGATATGATTCGTGAATGCTTTGCTAGAGTAGAATTATCAAACGGAAACATTTTACAAATACCGTTGAAATCATCACTATGTTAATATTTTCTAATGAGTTGAAATCAATAATTCCCTTCTCACGTTTATTACTTTTTTGTTAAATGGTTTTAAAAAAATTTAAGTGCTTGTTTTAGACATACAAAGTTGATCTACTCATTAATTCAACATTTTCTATCATCGTTGTCCTCACTTCCGAAATATAAACGGAGTGCATTATCTTAAGGTTAAATAGTACTCTGAAAATAAAATTCATTAGTCTGAATTATATATAATTGCTTTCATCACTTGTAGCACGTTACAAATATTTCATACCAGTTTTTACAGGGTCCACGTTAGTGCATAAAATCGATATCTGGTTGGATAGAATTCATAAACTTCATATTTTTCGACAGCTCAATCTTTGCAGATCTTTTAGGTCAGTATCATGTCATTGGCGTATTGAGTTTCAATCATTCTGAAATACTGAGTGGATTGAAATGATGATTTTTCTTACTTTTGAATAATTATTTGGCTTGAGGGCGTGAATAATTTCAACTTTAGAATATATTTAAAAAAACTCAATTGTAGAAGTGTGATAAAACTGTTGATTGTTATGCTTGTTAGACATGGAATAATTCAGACATTTTATTCCCTTGAGTGATGATTATCGAAATATTAACTTTTAACTTGTTACATGAATTAGAATGTAATACTTCTATTTCGGACAGTAAGTAATAATGAACTTTTCTGGTTTAATCTTATTTTCATTATTATTGGCTGATTGTATCATCATGTTTTAGACACTACAAATGAAGGAATAATTTACCAAATTCAGTGTGATTTTGAAAACTCAGCTAAAGAATAGAACATAAGATAATAGGATGAAGAAAAATGCATTGGACGAAGATGCTATTCTACGTTGATTTCTCGGTTTTTAGCAATAAAGATCATAAAATCTATTCCTTAAATAAACTAATGCATGGATATGTGAATGAGAATATGCCTGTTGAGATTGAATTTAATTTCTAAAATTTATTCATTGTAGACAATCTGTAATGCAACCTGATAATTTTCTGTACTTATTTATGCTTTATATTTGATATAATTTGACAGTCATTAATTCCTAATAGGGATTTCACAATTAAACCTATGCGTTGATGTTGAATATTTGGAGTCAACTGTCATAAAGTTTGAAGAGAGCTGTTTCTCGCGCTGATTACCCATTTTCTCAGTTGAAGAAGTGACCACTGAGCTATTCATATGATGATGATAGCCATTGTCATAAATACGAGATGTGCATTAGATGATTACTAAATAGTAATTAATATTATTCACTAGGGGAGCACATCAGCACCCTCGAGGCTTCGGATACTTCTTGGTAATAAATGCTAATTGATACAAAATTCAGCCACATTGTGATGTATATTACTCACAACTTGGCTGATGATTAGTGTGAATCGGAGAGTCGCCCTGAAGTTAAGAGTGTTGGATCCAGATTTTTTTGGCGCGATTAGAGTATTTTTAAGACTATAAGACGTGTGAAAGAAGACAGCCGGTTATCTGCTTGTTTTACGAACAGACGTTTATGATAAGATGTACATATTTTCTTTAGTAATCTATTTCTTTCTCCAAATTAACCACTTATCCCATCTAGTCTTACATTCTTCTTTCATTACAATAGAACGTCTTACCAATTGTCTTTGATAACACAATAGAAAATTTTATACAACAAGTATCCACTTAGGGTTGCTGATGGGGTTCTGTCATTACTAAGGACTAGACACCTAAGGCGTTTAATATTATTCACTAACCAGTTAGTGTTACTAACACTATATGTAATACACCAATGGGCAGCGAGTGAATCGTGATTTGGTTTTGAAAATTTTAAGGAAGTTAACTCTGGACAAACAGATTAGTTAGAAATATTGGCGCTAATGAAATATGGGGTATTTTTAAATCAATTATATCGTAAAGATTTGTTGGTTCTTTGCAAAACAGTAATTAGTTACCCAGTATCCATTGTAGGGATCGCCAATGAATAGTTGATAAAGAAATTCTTTTGTTCATCAAAATAATCCTATACTCATTACTTTTGTCTTTCACGAGGAATTCGTTGATTAGATCAGCTTTGTGCAAATTACTTGCGGTTTGTTTTCTTGTCTTGAGTGTATCCCCACTATATTATCTGACAACTAAATATTAGAGAGAACTGAATGACTTCTATATTCTAACTCAGATCTTACACCACTGGTTCTACACAAGACTCTAACGAGAAACTAATCGCTTTCAAATAGACAGACAAGAAGTGAAGTAGTTTATATCTAGATACAATTCTTTTTTAAACGCATTGAATTCTTCAGTTGGTTACAGTGTACCGTAAAATCAATTTTTTAAAGGCTTCGTTTATGAAAATCCCTCCATGTATACATTTGTAATTTGTCATTATTGGTTCCTTCAAATGTACATATTCTTAATCTATTCGATTTCATTTGAGATGATAATATTTGTATTTTATTATAGTTTCTATTTATTCTGCCTTCACTGAGTTTCTATGTTTCTTTCTGAACTGCATTTATGTTGTTTAAGCTGATACTTAGTCATGGCGACAGCCATATTGATTTGTTCCTCTTTTGATTGTGTCGCTTGCCTTGACTGGAATTGTGCATTTTGATTGTGAATTGAAGCACCCTTCCAGAATAAGAAGCACTTTGTGTTATAAAGCGACCAGATATTATCTTTTGAAGGAATCGGATCCACCCAGAAAGGATAGAATAACATTTATTTTTTGGTGTTGATTTGATTAATTGGAAAATCGTTGGTGGAACAACTGAGTGGTAATATTTGTTTAAGTGGTGATGTACATTTATATTTATGATAAATATTAGAACCGTCATTTACCCAAACCACTTGTTTTGGATTTCGTTTGGTCAAGACGCGTATCTAAACTGCCTTTGACCAGGCGGCCCCCAAAGCCGACCCAACTAGATAACGTCGCTATAAGCCATCGGTGGAGAGGCTCTGTTGAAGATTGCCGCCCATTCTGGAGCACCTGTTTAGACTCAGACCATGCTCCAGTGCGAACGCGTATTTGTTCGCTCCTTACCGGACGCACGAAAGATATCGCAAGGAAACCTCTTAGGGCTCTACTTAATGATAATAAAGCTAAGAATATATTTCAGGAACAACTAGAAAAACAGTTAAGCAGCCATGTAGTAAGTGAGGCTCACCCTGAGGCAAGTTGGAATGATATCAAAAAGGCTTTGGTAACAGCAGTGATATCTTCTAGTAAGGTAAGCCATAAGGTTAGGGAGAAGACATGAATTTCAGTAGCATCTACCGAAATGATGTATGCTCGAAAGCTCAGCTCTCCTGGCTCCGAGCACGATGAGGAGCGGATTCAGATCAGGCGCAGGCTGATCAAAAGCCTACGCAACGACCGCGAATAGTGGTGGGTAGCAAAAGCAAGGGAGATGGAAAAGGCAACGGCGATAGGCAACAGTAGGCAACTATTCAGACTTATCATGGAAACCGGTATTAGGAACCTCAATGTGAGTGAGACTACTTCGGAAAAGGATGGTCTTATTATTCATTCTCAATCCAGGAGATTGGACCGGTGGGCAGAACACTTTAGGGATCAGTTCAACTGGCCTCGAGCCACTCTTCGGTTACCCACGATCTTCAGTCATCCTGAATGGCAAATCGACGTAAGTCCCCCTAGTCTTTATGAAGTTGAGAAAGCGTTAGGAAATCTGAAGCGAGGGCGAGCTGCAAGTCCTGATAGACTGACCCCTGAGATATTAAAGGATGGTGGTTCAGTTTTAGCAGCTTGGTTGACTGAGATCTTAGGTAGAATCTGGGAACTGGACGTAATCCCATCCGACTGGTCTCAATCCTTGATTGTCCCAATCTATAAGAAAGGACACAAGTGTTCTTTTTACAACACGTGAATAAGTCTAACTATTATAGTATCTGAAATATTAGCCTCAGTAATACTTCGGCGCTTAACTAGAGCTCGTGAAGAGCAAACTTGAGTAAACCATGCTGATTTTCGACCTGGACGTGGTTGTATAGACCACATCTTCACACTACGACAGGTCCTGGAACACAGACACACACTTAGACGTCCGACTATAGTTGTGTTCTTGGACTTAAAAGCGGCATTTGACCCTGTTGATCGTGAGGTTCTGTGGCATTGTCTTTTATTGAAATGTGTACCAAAGAAGTACATTAACCTCATACAAGCTCTCTACTCGAACACCACTGGTCGAGTGACAGCTTATGGCGAACTGTCACCCGAATTCTCTACTTCAAGTGGTGTCCGTCAGGGATGTCCACTCTCTCCATTCTTGTTTAATTTTATCATAGACATGCTCCTAGACATAGCGTTATCCTCCTCTGAATTTTCAGGAGTAGACCTTCTACCAGGTGGCTCGCTAATTGACTTAGAATATGCCGATGACATAGTCCTACTTGGTGAAGACGCTGACAAAATGCAGAGTCTTCTGACTACCCTAAGCAACAATGCAAGCATGTTCGGGATGCGGTTTTCCCCCTCGAAATGCAAAATGTTGCTTCAAGATTGGGTTTCATCGGCACCTGAACTAGTGATAGGGAGTGAAGTAGTCGAGCGTGTTGACCGCTTCACTTATCTTGGGAGTCTCATCAGTGCTGATTGCCTGGTGTGTGACGACACCTGTGCACAGATACAGTAGGCTCAACTGGCTTTTGCCAACCTGCGTCACTTATGGCGTATCCGTTTGCTGACTAAAAGACGAGTTGTATTAGACAGCAGTTTGTTCCGTCCTACTTTATGGCTATGAAACATGGCCAGTCAGAGTAAAAGATATTTGTGGGTTACTTGTTTTCGATCATAGGTGCCTTTGAGGCATTGCTCGAGTATCCTGGGACAACCGAGTGAGCAACGCTGTTATTAGGAAACGGAAGGTAGGTAAGAATGGCAGATCAATAGATGAAATAATGAAACTGCATCAGTTGAGGTGGTTGGGACATGTGTTACGTATGTCTAACTACCGACTGCCTCTACGAGCTGTGTTTTACGATGTAGGAATAGGTTGGACGATAGCTAGGGGCGACCAAACGAAGACATGACAGAAATCCATGAAGTCACTGACAAGTGGAATGAGTAATGTCGGTAGATGTAAGGTAGCTGGTTGTGGTCCGCGAGATGCTAGTAATCGATGGTTAGAGACCCTGTATGATATGGCTCAAAGCCGTTTGCAATGGCGCAGGTGCATTTACTCTCTGTGTTCTATGAAATTCTAACCCTCTGAATTAATCATCACCTCTATCTTTCTCTTTCTAAATTCACGTCACTGAATTAATACTTCTTGAGTAACATCTTCGAACCCTAATCTCTCCGATTACTTCGAATACTTTTACTACGTCTACTACTATGGGATTTGAATTGACAATTATATCTCTGTGCTAATGTGGTATGGCAACTTGAAGTTCTGTACGTTGCTGTTGATGATGATGATGTTATTTCTCGTTCCAAACCTCAGTTTGGCTGCTACGGTGTAAATGTATACGAGGAATTACATTTCATTATACATTTTACAGAGCCAGTTAAATTTTTATCATTTGAACTGAAATCTAACGAGGCTTTTTCTGTCTGTGACGATCAGTATCAAAAAAACATAAAACAGTGATGATGCTTAAATTCGAAATACATTGTCAAATATTTCTAGACTGGCATATTCGAACTCTGAGTAATATTTAAGCACAATAGAAATAACATACTTATCTTAAAATAAGATAATTGGTTGAAATAGAAATAAACATTTATTTATTTGTAAATATACAGTGACTAAGATAAAATTAAATACCCATATCTTTTAAATGTATTAAATTAAGTGTTTCAGGGAAATTTTTTTTAGTCTAGAATAATTAACCTCCTTTAAATGACTAGTCTTAATTCAATATAGAATGATACGACTTTCAACTGCTCTACGACAGATTGGACAAGCAGTGACCTGATCACCGCACCATTGACATGTGGCATGACCACACATAAAAACTAAATTACGTGAACGATCCAGACATATAGGACATCGAATCTAAAATATAAAGTTGATACAAAGATCATTATAACGCGTATGAAAATAATAACAATTTTCAAAATCATTATCGTCTATGCTTAATCATTAATAAAAGTTAGTTAGTGTCAGCTGAGAAGTTTTCTTTCAAAAGTCAACTGTTATTGAGATTATGGACTTTTACAAGTTGGTATATTATTCGTAATTTGACAGTAAATTTTCATTTTTTAACTCACCGCATAATTAAAAACATACAGTTGAGTGGCATTTAATCAGCAATTAAGTCTAGATTCTGTAACACTGTTTATTATTCACTGTAAGCACTCCAGTGTACAGAAGGTTTTTAGTTGTCTTTATACCTCACCTGTAGAATCGCTCAATATGGAATACAATGACGCTAATTCAAATCTCTCTGGTGCCGACAGTTTCTCATAAATAGGAACGCATCATATTAATGAGTGATAGCCAACGCAAAAAACGTAAACCCATTCTAAACAAATTTGACTTTAAAATCAAATAATTCAATCCATATTTCAAGTTCTGGTTTATTTATCAATCTCTAAACCAACTGAACAACAGATTTTTTCCAAGTTCATATTGATCAGAGTGTGGAATTCAGCTACTCAACTACGCATTTCGATATTAAATTCTAAAGAGTGAGAATGGATGAAGTATTGATCGTTTTCTGGATGATGATTAATGTTTTAAAAAGAGCATTTTAATTAAACAATTTAAATTCCGGTCATCTAGTGAATATAATCTGTGAAACTAACGAATGTACATTAATTGAATTAGATGTTTAGTGACATCAAAACGTTCATCAGTTTTACAAAACAAACCAAAGAAAAAATTCCACCTTATTTTTCATCTCATCCATTAAACTGAGTAGTTCAACAATGACCAGGGTTCTGTGTGGACTAAACAGAGTCATAGAGTGAAATACATAAAATGCATGAGTTATTTCCATTTATTGATTCATCAAGGCAACGGTAGTGAAGCGTAAAAAAGTTATTGATCGTGCTTTTTACTGACTTGTAAATTTACGAGTGATAAAATTTTTTCTTTTCAAAAATCAAACAGTTCAATGTAGCTAAGACTAGATTAAATATACTAATCATAATAATAAAATTCCATAACCAAATAATCTAACTTGTGAGTAACTAAATCAATTTGAATCTATTAATTTTAACATTAAAATTTGACAAATTAATTCATTGTGAACAGTAGTAATGAAAGGAAACTATTCAATTCTTAATATTCATACAGTAAATTAAATTAACCACTTTCTCTAGTTATTAATTAATATACAACAATGATTCTTACAAAGAACAGTATATGAAGTAAGATTATTTATCGTTTTATGACTGTTGTACAATATGAAAAATAAATATTTAAAGACATACTTGTTCACGCATTACTTGAAGTTCATGTTTTAATCGGTTTACTTCACGTTCACATAAATGAGTTCTTGGACCTCTTGGTCGGCCAATAACTCCAGCTCGACTTCCATCTTGACGAAGCTGATTATTCGGTGTTATCATATTCTGTAATTATAAAAGGAATAAATAAAATTATCAGATGTAAATGATAAAATAAATATGCTTGGAACGTTTTGCTACTTGTAAGTAGTTAGTTGTGCATCTGTTATGTGTATAAACATGCTTATATAAACAGTTATTCTCTTGTCAGTCTACATATTTTGATATATATATATATATATATATATATATATATATATATATATAAACATAACATACCTGCCTAGTAGATGTGTTCAGTAATCCACTGAATCCTTGACGGTCTATTGGAGACAGATGGCGCGATGGTTTAGCTTTTGAGAAAAGAGCAAAACGTCAAGAATTCACATCAAAGTCAACACAGATGTTCACAAATACTATATATATATGAATTTATATATATATATATATATATATATATATATATATATATATATATGCATAGATATATATATGTGCATATATAGAGGGAGAGAGAGGATCTTAAGTTCTAAGATGTTGAGTATTCCGGGGATTTGTAAATGTTCCTCCCAGCAAATTTGTAGACAATAGGTTTAAGATGTTATAGAGTTTGAATGTGAAAGTTTTTGTAGATCAACAATGTTTAACATGCATCAACATAGGATAAGATTGATTCCAAGTTAAATTCATAAATTAATTTCATTTTTATTACTGACTGTGAATTGGTATTCTTTATAATGAAGAATATGGCCAACTTCCAAATAGTATTAACCGATCAGTCTGGTATATTGTTATCTATGCCATTGTAACATTTATTTTGTCACTACATATATGCTAATATAGGAAACGATCCATGGAATTAAGTCAGCTTTGTGTGAGAGTTAAGTTTACTGGGTTTAATTACTAATTGCAGAAGAAAGCGTTTCACTAGAATAATCCTTCAGGTATAAACGAATGACTTGGTTTATTGATTATGTGGTGAAAAGGAATTTTGGAATTATGTACTTGTTTGTTAAAACCATAAGACTGGTTTCTTTATAAACTTTTTATGGATGACATGCTTTACAAGCTGTGGAAACTGACCTTAACATCAAGATCTATAAATGTTTTTATTGAAGAAGGGAAACGATTTTTCAGTCAAATTCCGTTAACCATAACTGATCAATAATATTTCTTTATGTGTGTAGACCTTGTTTGTTTGTAAAGAATGGTATATTGCAAAATGTTTGACGCTTGATGAGTCATTACCACAAAATTAGTAATGGTGTCCTGCTGTGTTTACGTTCTCAGGTCATACTAATAATCCAATGCTCGTAATGTTTACATGAATCACATGTACACACAAACAAACTGGTGGAAAAGATGATGGCCAATATGAAATGTTTTCGCTGCAAATCACTTATGGTGCAGAATCCTCTTGAAGTTGTACATATGGTTTTTTTCAAAGTTTAGTCAATCTTGGCATATGGTTTGAATGTATTTTTGTGTAATATTAAAGGTGATTGGTAGAGTGTTAAACCAAATTTGCGATAAATTATGTGATGGAAAGTAAATAATTGCGGTTTGTTAAATACATTTATGTAATGAATAAGTATAAACATTTTGTAAACATGATGTCAACAAGATTAATTAGTACTAATATTGTCCTAAAAACATAGAGGTCACTTCTGAAAGTTAGCTGGAATTCATTATATCAATAGACTAAGTTGATTGGTTTGATTTCTTGGAACATAGCTAGTAAAACTGAATTGTTTTTAGCTTCTCACTTTTAGGAACTAAAGTCTATTTGGGCTAGTTCGTTAGCTATCATTTTAGTCAATAAAGTGAAGAACTTTAGAGGAATCCAACTTCTAGTGTCTTTTCACAGTCGGTACAAGTATATTGCAACATTTTTGCAAGATACGAGACATTTAGAAGCCTTGTTATTGTTTACGTTTATATTTGTATTCAGTTAAGTAAGTCAATCAGAAAATATCTGAAATATTCCGTCTCTCAGTCAAGAATATTCATATCAACTTTCATCAATTCGAATTGTCATAATGAATGAAACGTGTGACATATAATGACTATTAATATTTCTGGATATTGCTTACTTATAGTTGCTTACTAATAGTTGAAGGGACTTTGTTGACAAGAGTTATAAAGCATTATAATGATAGCCTAGATTCTTCGGAAATAATGAGACTGATTCCCCATCTGACAACCACATGAACAATTAATATCGGTATATGGAAAGTCTCCATAGTGTGGGAGACCGTAAGAACCATTCAGGTTGCTGGGGAAATAGAAAGATATAAGCTTAATAGGTGAAACTCATCTGAATCAAGCTGGATAAAAATATTAGCTTCAGCAGAGGTGCTGATCTACTCCGACCATGAAGAAAAAGTACAGCAGTTTCGCTGATGCCCTCGAAAGAAGCACAAAAGCACTATTAGAGTTGCGATCCCATGGACCTACGATCATCAAAGCATCATTCAAAACAAAGAAAGAGGAGATCACAATGAATATCATTCAATGATATGCACCCAATAAAGATAACAATGAGGACAATGAAGACCAAATCTAAGACAGGCTGCAGTTAGTTGTCGAAAAATATTCAGCAGAGGATTCGATCATTCTGATGGCAGACTAAAACACCATGGTTGGAATGGACAACACCGGATTCGAAGACATCATGGAACGACATGGACTGGGTGAAAGGAACATAAATGTTGAGCGATTTACAAACTTATGTGCCTTCAACAAACTGGTCATAGGCGACACCATAATCCCAAACAAATGCATATACAAAATGACACAGGATTCTCCAGATCGCACTACACGGAACCAAATCAATCACATCTGGATTAGTTAAAGGTTCAGAAGGACCATGGAGGAGGCGAGAACCCAGAGAGAAGCTGAAATAGCTTCAGATCATCACTTGATGATCGCCAAGATGAAAGTGAAACTGAAGAAACATTGGATATCTGGTTGAACAGTATCACAAAAAATAGATACGAGGTTTCTTTAAGATACTGGAGAACTCAACGAATTAAAGATAGTATTTAGCAAGGTGTTATCTGATCTACTCAATGAAGAGGAAACTACTAAGAAGAACAACTGTAAACGGATCAAGGAAGCCATAACTTTAGCATATCATGAGGTTCTGGGGCAAAATAGGCATAATCATAAGGAATGCAACTCTCTTAAAATTCTAGATAAGACCGAATAAAAGAAGAACAGGAAAACAGCAACCAGTATCAGTCAAACAAGAGCAGAGAAAGCCAATGCACAAGCCGAATACACAGAAGCAAACAAGGAAGTAGAGAACAGCATCAGAGCTGGTAAGCGAAAATATATGCAAGATCCATCAATGATGGTAGAAGCTGTGAGGGAAGGAAACATGAGCCAGCTATACAATACATTGATGAAGCTCGTTAGAAAATACAGTAAATCAGACTGACCAGTCAAGAACAAGGAAGCCACAATAATCACCGAGATTAAAGAACAGTGAAACAGGTGGGTAGAACACTCTGAAGAACTCTTTAATTGACCAGCCCCCGCTGAACCCATCCAATATCAAAAACATCATGAATGGCCTTCCAATTGATGTTAACCGCCAGCAGTCGAAGAGATCACTATGGTCGCCGGAAAAATCAATATTGGTAAAGCAGCAGGGTCAGATAACATTCAAACTGAGGCATTGAAATCGAACATAGATATAACTGCGTTACGCGTTCTCTTCAGCGAGATCTGGGAGGAAGGACCGATACCAACAGACTGGAAAGAAGCATACCTCATCAGAATGCTAAAGATAGTGATCAGAGCATGTGTGAGAACTACAGGGGCATAACTCTACTCTCAAGGCCAGGATAAGTCTTCAACAGAGTGTTGTTGAACAGAATCAATAGGCTGGATTCCGTAAAGGTCGATGATGTAATAAACAAACCACAACACCAGGGATTATTGTTGAGTAATCGACTAAATGGGATTCACCACTCTCCATAAACTTCAGTGACTACGAGAAAGCATTTGACGCAGTGGACGAAACATTGTGGAATCTTCCTCGACATTATGGTGTATCTGATAAGATAGTTCTTATGACGAACTACTTTCAAAATTGTACATAGAGGAAAACTGACTGATCCATTCCAAGTAAAAACCAGTTTCAGACAAGGTTGCTTACTCTCAACCCTTCTATTTCTTTTGTTGATCAACTGGTTTATGAATACGTCAACAGAAGAGGATGTCAGAGGAAGAACGGGATACAGTGGACAGCTTCGATGCAGCTGGACGATTTGGATTTCGCAGATCACCTAGCTTTTTTTTTCTAGACATGGCAACAAATCAGTGTAGCAGCAGCCTCTTCAGCAGTAGGTCTCAACATACCCAAAAGAAAAAGTAATATCCTCTAATACAACACAAAAAGCACCAACGAAATCACATCTGATGAAGGGACTTTGGAAGATGTGGAAACCTTTACATAACTGGGCAACATGGTTGACTAACAAGGTGGATTTGACGCAGATGTAAAGATATGGGTTGACAAAGCGAGGGTGACATTGCTATAATTGGAAAATATCGGGAACTCAAAACAACTATTGACAAGCACCAAAGTCACAATTTTCAATAAGAACATCGAAACCGTCCTAACTTGGGATTCAAAGGAAAAGAGATAGACAAAACAGTGCATTGGTCCGGAAATCAGAGGTAGACATGAAAAGAATAGATATCATCTGGGAAGAACTGGAGAGGAGAATTCAGGACCAAGTTGGTTGGAGGCCTATGCACTATAAAGAGTAACAGTCGTAAATAGAAAACTGCTAATAGATACATTCAACTTACTCAAAGTCATATTTTTATCACTAGTCATTATTTAATGCAATCTTATTCTCATTAATAATGCATGTCGATACTTTATTTAAAAAATTATTTTGGCATTTCACATATACAGGCACTAATTGACATACTATCTGACGTTATGTAACGACTTACAATTAAAACCTACTCACTTCAGCTACATATTTTTTCTAGATAATAATGAATAAATTCATTTGTCTTGTAGTTTCACTTTTTGAAGATTAGCAAACAATTTTGTTTTTTCATTTCAACTTCATTTACACTTGAATATTTAAGACTATGTAATTGTACTTATCATGACTATTAATATTCGTTTTTATCATTTTCAACGTAATCTTGAATGAATTTTCCTTATTCAACTAATAATTAAATGTTATTAAAACAAAAACCTGTTCTTGTTGAATGGTAGAGTTGAAAAATTAAGAACAAAAAAAAAGAACTGGCAACACTATGACTGACTGATTAAATTGTAACAACACAGATAATCTGTTCTAAACTAACTTTGTCAATAGTTTTGTGAATTCTTTTGAAAAGCTTTCTTTCTCTCTCTCTCTCTCTCCCTCTTATATAGAAAAAATAACCCGAAATATAATTGAAAAAAAAAAGAAAATCTCTATTTGAAACTATTTCTTTTTCGAAAAAGTTATAATAAAACTTAACAGATAAATATGTTTGTTTTTTTTTTGTAATTTGATTAATTATATTTTATTTTCAACTTATTTTCTTGAATAAATTTTTAGATTTTGTAGTCTATCATTTAAACTTTGTGTATAGTTTTCATTTATTTGTGAATAGAGTTTAATAGATTTTTTAAATACATAAGATGAAAATAGTCTATAATAATAATAATAATAATAATAATAATAATAATAATAATAATAATAATAATTCACTTTTTACTGATAAAAGGAGGTGTTGAGGCCTTTTAAATTTTCAGCCACTAAGTTCAAAGTTTCAAATTAGGCTCACTAGTTTCGTTATAGACAATCAGGTGATATCATTAGTCTTCATACTTAGAGAGTGTGGCTCATATCCAAGTACCTAGTTAATTTATTGTTTTTCTAGTTTAATGTATGAAGATGGTTGAATTAACTAAAAAATATCTGAACTGTACTTTATCATAGCCTCTGTAGTAGTTGATATCATTATTTAAACTGATTATATAACATTGAACAACCACTGATTTCTCTTTTGGCTAAATATCATGCAAAAAATATTAAAAACAATCTATGCCTTTTTATGAGTAGTATACACTGAGAATAAAAAAAAATGATACCTAACGAATTTAACGAATAACAGTTACGAAAAGTAGGTTTATAGGAAAATAAAGGAAGTTATTGCGATAAAAATCACACTAACTGGCTTATAGTTATCAACAGAATAACAAACATATACACATTTTCATAATGAATATTATTGAATAATTTATAGCTACTGACATTTCTAACGAAAAAGAAGTTACAATAAATATCTCAATATTTTGATAGTTTTATATCCTTAGACGTAATGTAGTATAGAAAAAAAATCTAAAATTTTTAGTATTCTGTAAAACATGTAGATAATCAGAGGTATTCAAATGAAAAATCTGAAGTCATAAGGTTGAAATCGATAACACTCATAAAGAAGCCGAAACAAAGGTAGGAATTCGATTACATCTGTAAAATTGTACATCCGATATTGAAATAAATGATTATTTTGTTATGTAGTTAAAGAAGTTGGGTTTCGAGCCTAAACATCTAAAAAAAACTAAATCAGATGAAGATTTTTTGAATGTATTTTTTTTACATCACTCATACTGTTGTTCTGTTGTTCACTGGTTCCTGAAATTGATGTAGTTTACTTATTCCTTAAATGAACTACACTTGACAGTCATGCACTGATTTACTAGAAGCTTTGCCTAAAAAAAATTATTATTGCTTTATTTTGAGATCTACAAATTATTCAAAGTCAGTCAGTCAGTCAGCTACAACGTAGAACTTCGTACGTACGTACATACATCGGTTCAGGTTATTCAAAGAATAAAATATAGCTTTATTATTATTATTATTATTATTATTGGTGCTGTTAAAATTTCAAGTGTTTTATCATTACACTTAAATTTTTACTGACAGATAGATTTGTTTTAGCTCTAAGAAGAAATTAAGATTTTCTATGAAGATTAACTTTAAGCAAATTGTGTATCTGTGCCTGACCGGAGATCTGAATCCAATTTAGACGAACAAATGAATATGTTATTGAAATAAATCTTCTCCACAATTTCCGCATATCATTCTTAGGCGATAATAAGAATCCCAATACGGATTCAGTTGAATAAATTTATTTCATGAAATTATTCATGCACACAGACATGAGAATACAAAGTGGAATAGCAAAGCCTAACGAAGTGGGCAAGGTGAGTGAGCCAACTCTCCATGTGGTGAGACTTGACTAAATTATTCATAGTCAGACGGAAGTGAGCTAGACACACATGTGTTAAACGGAATAAGCAATGCACATATACACACACACACACGCTCAAATAAAAACAACCAGAGTTATAAGCGAATCACATAGGCAAGGTCGAAAGACCCGTCAATAGCTCGAGAAGAATGGATTAATTAATTTGTTCAGAGGCTGGGACAAGCTTACTATGTGGGCTTGGCATGATAGTACCACACAACATGTGTATTGTTATGAGTAAGTTTCGATTTGATTATTTCAAATAAACTGAAAATTCGACAAATGATTCTCCGATAAATTAATGGTCTCAATGATTATAAATTTAACATTCCATGATTGAGTGTTCAACTAATTCTTTAGAGAATTAAAATAATATAACACATTGATAAAAATTTAAATAGTTTTAACGATACTAACTAGAATATAATTACTATCATTAAAATTAAAATATGTTAACATTAACATAAATCTTGTATATTGATTTAGACACGGAAAATAACTTACAGGAAACTAATTGATTCTGCACTAATTCCATATCGGTTTGAATATTAGTTAGAATAGAATTATTTGTTGGCAGTATATTTGTAATATTTGATGCAGTGGAATTCAATTCAGTTTCAATAGAGTTACAAGAATTCAATGTGAATGCGTTTGAATCGTGGCCAAGAGCAATGGCAGTCGATTGATTATTCACACCAGAGCATGCTACTAGTACTGGACATAGTGACTGGACTGTATTATCACATGTTGGACAGCCATCTAAACAAATACCTCCGGTTAATAAATCGTCTAGTAAACTTTGCATTTTATTTATCATCGATAATAGACGACCTAGTGGTACATTACGCCATAAATTTATATCGTTTGTTTTAATAACCGATGATGAGGATGAAGATGATGAAGGTTCTGTAGAAAATAATGGGTCTAATTCATCAAGATTTGAATTGATGGTAGATTGTGTAACAGAAGTAGCTGTTGGCATTGTTGACGTCCCCGATGGCAGTGATACTGATACATTTATTAAATCAGTATTATTAATTGTAGTATTATTATTTGTTGATAAAGTTTGATTTCTATTTTCCATTACATCTTCTTCTTCTTCATAAAAGCCAATATTCCCTGTAATTTGATGGATTATTTCTAATTGTTGCACTTTAGTTTTTAAACATGATTTACACCAAAGCATATGATTGCATGGTTTAGCTAATACAACACCATTCGACAGATTGCATTCACAACAAATGGAAAACTAGGCGTAAAGAAAAAGTAGAGACATGGAGAAAAAAAGGCATAGAATTAAAATGATGTTTTAATTATGTCATTCCATATAAAACATTCAGCAAATGTTAGTTAATTTCTTTGTTCATTGTATTTCAGATAAATAATGTAGTAGTAAACAGTGTCCTTATGTAATATTGTTGATCTGACTGATAATAGAGGTTTGAAAAAAGAAACTAGAGTTAAATAACGAAATGTTTGAATGTTTTGTTTATAGAAAAAAATATAAAATGAAGCTGAACATTGTGGACACTTTCAAATTCTAAGCATTCATTTTGAATGCAAAAATTTAGTATATCTATCTTTGGTAATCTTTAAACGAATATTACTTATCCATTATGATATTATTAATCGATCAGTAGTAAACGGTTTCATGTTGCTTCAACTGTTGGTTTGACGATATTGCACATTATCATTAAAAATGCCTTTATTTTTTTTTTTGTCAATTTAGCTATGAGGCTACCGGACAATTAAGTTTATTGTTATGAATATTTAACTAATTTCCTCGCACACATGGATCGTTTGATACTGCTCACACGTTCAGCTGAAAACATTTCAAATGTGACGTTGGTAAAATACAAGAAATAGTAGATAACTCACCTTATGATATCCAGCTATTCGTTGTCTGCATAGAAGGCATTTTTTAATTAAAGGTGTACATGTTTCACAAGTTATAATGTGTCCACATGGCAATATGACTGTAGATCGACTTCTTTCAGAGCATACAAGACATTCACGCCATTCCAGATCCATTTCGTCAAGAGTAGGTGGAAGTAATGTATAAATATTTGATTGACGTACACTATGACGTAAATTGTTTTGTTCAGGGATGAATTGATTTTCAATAGCAAATGGTTGACTTAAAGAGTTTTCATCTGTTTGATTTATTAATGGTGATTGTAGGACAAAAGAATTATTTGATCCTACAACTGAACAACTCGGTAACAAGTCAGCTGGTGGTATTTGACGGTTATCAGTTCGGAAAAATGTATCAACTAAATTCTCTTCATCACTATCACATATAGCTGAGATAAGTGGAGAATTCGGTCGGTTAATCTCATGTCTAGGACTACGACCGACTGAGTCAGTATTTAAAGGACAACATTTAACGAAATTCAAAGCTTCCATATGACATTGTTGTAGCGCTAATTGTAAAACTGGATCTCGACATTCACGGAAAACATCTGTGACAAAATTCTCACTGACCGATTGTGTAGTAACATTATCTACATCGTCTTCTTCTGCACTTTCGGAATTTATGGCTCCTAAATGAGATGACCATGATTCTGCACCTATCGCCGAAGCTAAACATGCAGCAATAAGTACATTACGAGGAACACCTGTTTCTAAAGTTGCTTGAATGGTAGATTTTAAGCGACGACACAATGCACTTGGAGATACTAAAGTTAATGGTTCAGTTGTAGTATTTCTATGAGGTTCATCTTCAGGATCGTTGTCTATTTCAATCAATTGTTCTTCATAATTATTTCTATTCGAATTAAGTCGTAATTTATTTATGCCACTGGACAATATTCCAGTTGAATTAGATGTAAGTGCAAGTGAATCAGCCATTCGAACTAAAAGACGTGCCACCGATGCCAGAAAAGGTACTAAAGCAACATCGAAACGTCGAACATTAGGATTCTTTTGAAAAAAAAAATTAAAAAAATTATCAGTAGATGAAGCATTTTAAAATTCAGTTTAAGATTACATTATTAAATGATAACATTACTAGATAATAGATAGTTATTGCACCACAAATAAATTCTATTTTGGTACAAATATTATGACAAATAAACATCACTAAGCATTGTATAAAATAAAACCAACTAGTCTGGTAATTAAATTTACACAAGAAAAATTAAAAAGTATCCTTTGAGTAGTTCATATTATTTTAGCAGTGTTTAGACCATCAGTCATTAAAATTAATAACGAATCCCATACACTAGTTGAGTACTGGGCATACTCAGTTCATATTAAATGAAATAGTTTTGTTAAGATAGGTTTTATCTGTCAGTGGCACCTGTCATGAATTGGTCACAGTTGGTGACAGTATATCATTGCAAGACCTCATATGAATGTACGTCTCTTCCGTGGACTGAACGTGGGACTTCCAGGTCTTGAAGTTAACCAAATCAATAGAACTGCTAGTTTGATATCTAATGATATAGAATTCAAGTTCCAAACACTTCGCTATATAGTGCAATAATTACTAAATGCCACTGATGACAACTCCCAAAATACTTCTATTTAAGATGGATTTGTGTATCATTCGATGACAATCGGATAGTATTAATGGTTAAGGTTTTACAATGAAATCTGAAAGTGTTGAACACCCTCTGATGAGGAGTTTAATGCTAGAACAAACCAACTGTCTAGTTCTCGATGACATGGAGTAAGTAGTACATTAAATAAAATCATTCAATAATAAACACAAATCGAAAATGTACCTATACATTTTCAATGAATCAATTATAACATTTATCATTTCATAATAAAGAAAAGTAGATAATTAGATAATTATCAAAACGATCATTACAATAGATGATAAAAATAATGTGACTATCATCATTTTCAAATTACTTGTTCCATTTCCAAAAATAAATACAGTCAATATAAAGTTATACTTGTATACTTTTTGGACATATTTTATGTTTGTTTCCGTGATGACCTACTTTCCATCATCAGTCAACTTTTACATTTTAAAAAAAAGATTAAAATCTTACAAATATGATGAATATTGTTTGTTAGAAAATTCATTAAATGAATGACTTTATTGTTCAAATTTAATTATTTTTGTCTTGACTTCAAGTATTTTAAAAATGCCTTGATTTATTTTTATTTGTACTTTCATTAACCTTCAATAAATATTTAACACAAAATGATACATTTTACTTTATCAGTATAATGAGAATTTATAGAAACATATAATTCTTTAAGTACTTTAAATTATGATCACTTGTTGAAAGGTGTATCAATAAATTAACAATTGTATAAACCAGTTCAATTGGATTGACAAATCTAATCATCTGTATTATAATGCCAAAATATGGTTACAGAGATTATTGAGTTTCATTAGAATCACGAACCGATCCAAGTTAGACAAGCACTGAAAACTTGGAAGCATTGCACACCGACAACATTACTTACTGACTTACTTATACCTGTTACCCCCAATGGAGCATAGGCCGCCGACCAGTGTTCTCCAACATACTCTGTCCTGGGCTTGTCTATCCAGTCTTGTCCAATTTTTCTTCATTCTCTTCATATCTGTCTTCATTTCTCGGCGTGATGTGTTTCTTGGTATTCCTCTTGTCCTTTGACTTCAAGGGTTCCAACTGATGGCTTGTCTTGTGACGCATTTGGGTGATTTCCTCAGTGTTTGTCCTATCCACTTCCAGCGCTTCGTCCTGACTTCTTCCTCCGCAGGAATGTGGTTTGTTCTTTCCCACAGTAGGTTGTTGCTGACTGTGTCTGACCAACGGATCTGAAGTATTTTGCGTAGACAGCTGTTAATAAACACTTGTGTCTTCTGGATAATGGCTTTGGTACGTTACCAAGTTTCCGCTCCATGCAGTAGGACTGTCTTGGCATTTTTATTGAAAATTCTGAACTCGGTGTTGGTCGGTAGTTTTTTTTGAGTTCCAGATGTTTTTCAATTGTAGAAATGCAGCCTTTGCTTTGCCAATCCGCTCCCTTACATTTGCATCCGATCCACCTTGATTGTCAATGATGCTGCCCAGACATGTAAAGGTTTTGCATCCTCTTAGGCATCTCCATCAAGCGTGATTTGGTTGGCTCATGTTCTGTTTTATCGGATAATCTTGCTTTTCCCTTTATGTATGTTGAGACCTACTGCTGCTACACTGGTCGTCTTCTCTTGCATTTGTTATTGCGTGTACGATAGAAGAGCCAGATCATCTGCAACGTTCAGACCGTCCAGCTGCATCCTGGCTGTCCACTATATGCCGTGCTTCCCTCCAGATGTTGATGTCTTCATAACTCACGATCTAGCAATCAGGAATTAAATGCATAACTTGTAGACTACTAAGCTGTGACCCAGTGGTGTTATGGTTTAACTTCAGTCGATCCACGACATTAAGCTACCATTTTCAATTACCTTCGGAGAGTACCTTTCATACACCCAGCATGGTTTTATTACCAATACATCAAATACATCAAAACTATGGCATATATATTTGTTCCACATATTAAGGTGATACGATATTTACCTATGAGAAATAATAGTCACACGAGATAATTCAGAACATGAAGAGAAACTCATAGCAAGGAAGAGTAATTTCAATCACACCACCGACGATAGTAAAGTTAAATTAGCAGTCGTTGGTAGAATATTGAATCTCAATAAACTACAGGCTATTCATCGGTTTAATATTTTTAAACTGATATTCATTATTAGTCAATGTTTTCTGTAGGTTCTTCACTACATCTTTAACATGTTTGTTAGCGCTTGTCAACAAAACATAGTTCAAGTCGTTTATTTTTCATCTACATTTATTAAAATAAAGAATTTCTTGAAACGAATATTTTTTGGAAGAAAATACTCTTAGACTAATTGTTTACTTACTCCTGTTGCCTCTAATAGAGCATAGCTGCCGATCGGCATTCTTCAACTTACTCTGTCCTGAGTCTTCCTTTTTTTATTCATTTAAGTATCAATGTTTGAAGACTATACCTATTCGAAAAATATAACTGTTTCGCTTAATAACTTATTCGTTTGGATTTCCGGTCACTGTTTATGGTGTGCTTAACTTACCCCAATGTCTGACTGTGTTATTTAAGACCATATCGAAATGTTACTCATTTTAAATCATTAGAACTATTCACCATCTGTAGAAGCCTCACAAGAAAAAATCCCCATGATTCTCTTTCATGCGTTTCTGAACTCATTGAAGAACTGTATTAGAAAATATCCAAGATGAATCGTTAGGACAGAATTGCGTATTAGAGACGTTTTATAGTCCAAGTGTACAAGTGTATATACCAGGCAGTTATACACAGACGATACATTTACTACGGCATTTTCTAAATTGAAGCATTTAACAGCCCATTCTGAGGCTTTATAATCTTTAAAGTGTTAGTTACCTCTAAATTATCCTAAGCATTGTTACTTATAATTTGTGAAAATATGAATTCGAATACCTCCTCCAAACCATCAAGTTTAAATATAGACTGTGAAAATTAACAAAATGAATAAGCTCTGTGGATGCTTAGTCTTGTATCCCGGAACCTGACTGCATTTTGGACGAACGATTGAATATGCTATGAAAGATATACTCCCTCTCTTTCCCGCATCTAACATTCCTCCTAACTCCGTTTGTGCAATGGTTGTAATTAAAAGCCAAATATGGTCGTATGTGGATGAATCGATTTCATACATTTGCCTAAGCAGACAGATAATAGAACGCGAAGCGTAAATGTGCATTGAAGCGAAGGCGACGAAGCATGATCGACAATTTATAGTCAGTCAAAAATAAGCTAGACGTGTGATATCAGAAGTAAGCAATGCACATACGCATTCATGCAAAAACAACCAAGATTTCTAGTGAATGGTTGACAAGGTCGGAAGACGTGAATAACAATTCAAGAATGAATGAATTAGTTTATTGAGAGGCTGGGAAAATCTATGTGGGCTCGACACACTATAGGAGATGCGAAAGGTTTTCTCTGCTAATACTGTGACCAGCTGGTGGTTACCTCATTTTTAGAATGACTGACATTACTTGAATTCTTCTTTGGCATTAGTAAGGTCTTCTTTTTCTTAGTGGATTATATCAGCCAGTGAACTCAGTTTTTAAAATGATTAAGAAACTGTGGAAGATGTAATGCTAACTATACACACTAAGTACTGTACCATATTAAATTAAAAAGGGTCTGATAACAAATACACATTTTATAATTTTTTTAAATGGAACAAGTCCCACGATTCCTCAAGTCAATAAACATATTGTTCATGACCATTTTGTTTAACTTTGGTCGACACTAATATCCCTGATATCAGAAAGCAAACATTTCCCCAAAAATCAAGTTAGAAGGCATCACAGCAATATATATATATTTCTCTGTGATATATGATAGATAGAATATGACTTACAGTGGATTCCGGGACATGCTTTTCTTTCTATTCGCTACTCGTCAGCTGGATGTAACTGCATCTCAGAGTTAATGTTCACTCCCTGACGGGAACACAATACAGCTTGCTTCAAACGCCATCATGTTATCTACTTAGCTACTTAGTTCAGATAGCTGCTCATTTGTGCAATCTTTATGAAACTTAAATCAGTTTGAAATGATTTGGACTGTCTGAGATGCACGTACATTCAGCTAAAGAACTTCAAACAGGATGAAATGAGCATCCTAGATTCCACTGCTAGTCACATTCTATTCATTCTATATCACAGTAAGATGTAAACGCAAACAGATTATTAAGCATAAATTCTTATTTAGATATTCGAGGCATGTTTGTGCAATCATTAGTGGTATTGTCCTGTTAATCAAACTAAAGTAAGGTATAAAGTGTTTCAAATCCTCATCCTACTAACTGAAAGTCAAGTTCTATGTAAGTTAGGCAACTGCGTTTATAAATAACGAGTTCCAGAGCCATAGAGAGATAAGTCTAAAATTAATTTAATTAGCCTATTGTTAAACAATTATTTAAAATTCTGGGTTTGTTCAAGAGATATACATGTTATACAAATTAGTGGCCGTGTAGACTCAGCCGCCTATAAATAACTGATTAGAATTCGAAGCCAAAAATACAACGTTCAAGCCTTTATGTCGATACTAACATCGTAAGAAGGTTATACTCAACTGACAAGTCTCAAGAGGAAAATTGGATCTTAGATTCGCGAGGCAAAGTATAAATGAGCGTTTACAAAACAAATGAAAGCAGATTATGATTTTATAAAATGCGTTTCATTGAATCGAACCACAATCTCAAAAATTTAGGACAGTCCTCTACAGTGAATCTTTTCTCAGTACATTTGAACCAGTTGTCTAGATTTCAAATACGAAGAGTAGTATATGTAAAATACATACAGATGTAAATTTTCATGTATACAAATGTAAAACAAATTTACTTGAGATTCATGTGCTTGACCAAGAGCGTTTAAAGCTAGTTGGATTGGACTACGTCCAGCTCCACTGCGACAAGCTGCTCTAGCTCTATAACATAATAATAAGCATACAACATCTGGATGTGCTTTATGAACAGCCAAATGAAGAGGTGTAAATACAGAGCCCAATTTTTCTTCATCACATCCATTCAGTGGTGGCAGGCCAGCTGGACGACGAACTACAAGATTTGGACTAGCACCTGCTTGCAAAAGCAAATCAACGGCTTCCATATTTCCATTCAATGAAGCTAGGTGTAATGCAGTTAAACCATCAGGTTGAGATTCATCTATTATCCATGGTGTTGATGAACAATGTTCCAACAGTAGACGAATAATCCTACAAAATAAAACAAAAGTTATATTAGTAGATTTATTCATATCACTTTTCTTATAAGACTGAAAGATATACCTTCAAGTGCTTCAATTGTTGTCGTGTCTCATTTCAGTGCATAATTGAAAGAAAAGGCTAATGAATATGCTGGATGTTCTATTCTATGCTACATTTTAGCTTTTAGTTCTGCCTCAATACTTTTGCTTTAGACAAATCTACTAGTGTTAAAACTGTGATCTAGATAACTAATTAATTATTTACTTGATTTTTTGAAGTATAACAATATCCTATGTATGAAGGATAGTGTTTTATGCTTTTTATGAGCCGAGTGTGGTATCAGCCAATCTATTTTCGTTTTTCACTTGTTTAATTTACTACTTTATACAAAAAGCACTTCTTTTGTTCACGAGGACGATCCTACTTCATGTATACCACTTTTCCCTATTTTTATTGCTTTTAAATGAATGAATTCACAGTATCTGCTGAGTGACAGTCTATTTTCAATGATTTTACTCTAGATTTTTCTCTGTGTCTTAATACTAACTTTGTTTTTAGGCCCATAATGACCAAAACACTGTTGGAATCGTAAAAGTGACAAAAGCGATTAAAAATATATCACTTATCTCGGTGTAACTTTTACTTCTGATCTATCTTTGAATTGATTAGTGATAATCAAGCTATCAGTAACTTTATTATTATTTATCTTTGATTGATATATGTATATGTTACCTAGAAAGGATCATTTACCACCGGTGTTACCTAGTTAGATTCATTCACTGAAAAATTGTTCTGATTTGACAGTAACAGGCACAATGCATAAATTATGCCTGTTTAAACTGGACAGGTAACTGACTTTTTCATGATTGAAATTAAGCTTTTGCTTTTAAAAATGTTATTCGCTTATTTTTGTAAAGACTTGTCAATCAGTTTAATAAATATTCTCATTTCCTAAGCGAAATTCACAATATTTTTCAGGTTTATCGATAAGATTTTCCTCAGTTTGTTTTGTTGTACAGTGTTTTCATCATTTCAAATTTTTTCATTAAACAGTTGAAGTATGAGTTGAAAGAATTTTTTTTTCCTCATTTATACTATCAGTCTGATAAATTGTAGATAAACTTCATATTCATAATGATAGCTAAATGATTAAACCAGTAAATATATTCTTATTCTAAATAGCGCGCATGTTTGTGCATACTCGCTCGTACAATTACGCATCTTCAATGTAGAAATATGTAAACACTAATGAAAAAGAACGTGTTGCTTGAATCATTCAGTCTAATCACACCCATTTTTCATTTCTTTTAGTCTTATGATGAAAGTAGGTTTTTTCCAGTCTTTTCCAGTCTGACTGCCTGATAAAAATTGTGTAGATTTTATTAGTGATACCAACAGTAACAACACCACGACAAAAAATAATCCATCTTTATTGACGCCTTACAACAGTGCAATTTATGTCTGTCCGATAGATGAAACAAAAAGAAAAGAAATTATAAAAAAAAAGGAGAAATAGGTAAGAATGGTAAATCACCAATTGAACGACAGGTATTAGTATAAAGGCTAACTAGTGTGTATAGGTTCACTAGAATATAATATACCAATCAGTATTCGAAGTTCAAGAATTTCGTTAGTTATTAGTAAGCCAGACAGTGAAAAATCGAATTCTAAGCCTAGTCAACACACATTTCAAGTTTCAATATGCACATTTCCATGCGAAGAGGCTTGGTATAAAAAACAAACATTAGATATGGTATACCAGCCTAGTCCAGTTTTGTTCGTATTTTACTTTAACAAACGAGATAATTGAACAAGTAAAATGTAAGAAAGTGAATGTTGTATATTCATTGAAAAAAGGTGACAAGCTATTTTTACCACTTAATCGATAGAAAATAAATCTAAATGACTAACTGTATAAAAAATCCTACGTGAAGATAAACATTTTTGTAATTAGTCATTGTTCCAGCAATTAGAAACCTCTGAAGTAAAAATTTTCATTATATTTACACTGTGAGTTTTTTTTAGTTTGCCGAATAGTACTTAAAAAACAAATCTAGGATAATCACGTTGTCCACTTAGTTTCCTATTCTAAATTTAAAGTTTCATTAAACACTTCGTTCTATATATATATACATAAAAAAGCTTTAAAATCGAATCAGGTGAACAAAACCGTGTTAAAAATGTTCATATTGCCTTTCCAATACCTGAGTCGAATTAACATCCGACACATACCAATCTTATATCTGCATATATCCGGACTAAGGAGAATAGAATATATGTCTCCTTTTTTTTACAACTATTCACAAGGCGTTTGTTAACCCAGTGGCAATGAATATCTCATAATAAATGAAATATTCACCTTTGTACTGTTCTAGTAATCAAGGTGAGATGAATTTATAAGTGCTGTTAATTTTCAACAAGTTTGAATACTTCTTCCTTAGATTATACACATTAACCACTTAAAAAAGAGTTTCTCCATTTAATTAATGAATGACACGCGGTTGAACTGTTTGATATTTTTTTTATGTAAAATAACTACTGCAAAAACTCAAGTGACTAAAGGTAGTATTTCCTACGTGATATTATGCAAACACTGTGAAATTTTCCACCAGTGTAGAATATGAATCAAAAAGTCATCCGTTTGACATTTCTAGGCATAGCGTGTGAAGGTATTTGATTCAAACAAACTGCGAAGTATATTACTGTTCAAATATGATTCACAATCATCACTATGTAGTTAGTATGTATTAGAAATAAGTTATTTTCAACGCTAGTTTAAATAATCACATGGAAATAGTGAGAAAATTACTACAGTTACATGAAAAAAGATTACACAGATTCAAATCAAATTGTTATTATATATTTCTTGACTTTGTTATAAACTCAATCAATTCAAAAGGATTAGTATTCTTATAAAAACTCAGTTATCCTCAGTATTTTAAGATATATTTTCAATAGAATACAAAAGATGTATTATAGACTAAATAATCTGAACAGAGGAACACTCGTAAATTGGTCTATCATCAAGGCTTAATTCAGTTTGCTTAGTTTCGTCTGAAGCACCATATGTTTTTTATAGCGTAGCAACTACATGGTTAAAATTGTGTATCAATAAAAAGTGGGATGTTATCACCTAAACGAATAGTATATTTCATTCATATTCGATTTTGACTATGTTACTATCAGTTTGTGTGATGTGCACAAAATACCATTCACCAATCATAGTCACGTATATACATAGGGATTAAAAGTTTCATCAATTTTTTGTCCAATCAAAATCAACTGTAAACTTATATTGGAAATAAGGTGAACAATATAACTACATCTTGGACCAATATGTAAGTTAAGGTCACTCATCTAACTGTATATACATTTTACATGGGTCAGCACACACATAGGTATAATACACCCACAAAGTTTCACTTGAAAATCCATATTCACTGAAATATGTATAAATTGTATGTGAATAAAAAAGTGAAAAGTGAATTTTCCGGTAATATAATAAGCATTCGTTTGGAATGACGCTTCTATGTATTTGATAATTTTCACAAACTAAACAATGGACGTATTATATTAGTGATTTCATTGAATTCATTATACTTCCTAGTAATTTCTTCTAGTCTATGCATACTTCCCAATAGGCCATAGTGTAATTCACTACTCTACTAGTTTTTTATGAGAAAAAAATAAATATTATTATGAAAAACTAGTTATGAGTAACTTATGGAATGTTGTGAAGTATGTGCTCGACTGGGACTAGTCTGCAAATATGAGAAAGTTGAAGAATATATATTTCGGAAGATTAGATAACAAAGTGGCTTTTTTATTTATTTGTTTAAATGAAGGTAAGTAAGTTTGTTATTTAAAGTTGTATTTTTACCGATACTCATGAAATATTGTCATGAAATATTGTTTGTTTGTTTTTCACATTTTAAAAATGTTTGACGTTGTGAACATAAATTAACAACAAATATGTTGCTTAACTGTTAAAGAAACTTGTTTTCACCAATATATATATATATATATATATATATATATATATATATATATAGAATAGAATAGTCTAAACCTTATAATATGTATATGTATATGTATATATATATATATATATATATATATATATGACCAAAACAAATAAGTTGTGAATATGAAAATTTTCATTACTATTATTACTATATGTGTTATTATTGTATCGTACTTTTTTTTCTAGCCATTAACAAAATACCAGTTGATTTCCAAAAGATCAATGGCTAACTTGATTAACATATAAAATGGTCCTAAATTCATTTCGAACTAGCATTGAAAATTTGTTTGTCAATGTTGATAACTTTAGTTTTATAAATTCTAATTGTTGTGTACTTCTAGCAAGCATTAAAACAAAATCATTCTCTGAATTTGTTAACGAATCAAATTGTAAAATAAAAAAAAATATATTCAAAATTTTAGTTAAAATATTTCGGAGATGGAAAATAGTAGTAATTATTATCATTGGTAATATATCAGTGGAATGAAAAAAAAAATTATGTAACATTACATTTACCATTTATTCATGTAAAATTAATTTATCAGATAAAAATTGTCTGAGTCTGTTAAACAGCCTAGTCTATGCAGTTCAAAACGGAATTAAACAGAAACGATATATTATTGATAATGATGCTTTTACTCTACCAAATTTTTTTTTCTATATAATCCATGTAATGTCCCAATTATTATTCACTTCAATATAGAGTGTTTATAAAAAGAAAACGAAAACCAGAATGGTAGTTTGTGTAATTTTTCTGTTTAGTCTATTTGAAAATAAACTTCACAAATGTATCGGCAAACTAGTGAAAAAAATCAACAAATCGCTAAATGGAATCTGTTATTATTTATTTCAAATGGAATTATTGGAATTGCGATAATTGAATTGAACCATCATGTTGGGCAACTAGTTCAACTGCATATACTTTTTTTTTGGACTTTTGTTTTTAAAGAAACCAACACTTGGAATAGTAATGTGCTATTAACTA